TTCACCATAAGGGTCCACCAAAGCTGTAATTTCATAGGAGACATAATTTTATAGTAATGAAGAATTCTAATAATGATCATCCTACAAATTCCATGTCCAATTTACATCACAACAAATAATGAATATATTTCATTCAAAAACAGAGTCTTTCAAATTACTTTTTCTCAAATAAGCGAATGCACATGCAAGAGCCAGTGATTCTGCTGGATAACTCCCTTACAAGCATAATCTGAAATCACACACCATTGCATGATAGCATCCCCGTGATGACAAACGATGTTTCTAAGTGGAGAGGCAGAAGAAACTCAGATCACCTTATTTTTTTAAATAAATATTGTAATTTTTTTTAGTAAAAGTAAGTAGGCATTTACATTATCCACGGTTCAAGTTCATTCAATTTTTTTTAGTGATGAAACGTATTAAAAAATATAAATATAAAAATTATTTGCCTGCCTTCACTTTAAACTTTTGGAAAAATGATCCATGATATCCAACCAAAGAAATTTTTTTTAAAATGAATAAAGAATGACAAGGATTCCTAAAGGCTCATGTAGAAATGAAAGAAAAAAGAAAAAGTTACGTCGTCACTCCCTTTTGGATTGATTTGAATTGCTAATTGGATGAACTATCCGAAATTCAAAATCAATATATATGCAACTACCTAACACCTAGGACCAGATTATACAGTGTAAAGTTCTTATTTCCTCGAGATTCTATCCCAGAAAACGAAAAAATAAAATAAGTGAAACTCGTATAGGGATTAAGGAATTAAAAACAAATGAAACTCTCCATGGTAATACTAAAAAAACAAAAAATCACACAAATGAAGCTGCGTATTCAAGAGTACTTAAATTAATGTGAGTATGATGAGAGGTGAAACTACTTATTAAAATCTTATAGTGAACGCCAATTTTTATGATTATATCATACATCTTAAGAACCTCCTCAAGGCTCCAGCAACAAGCATCCAACATAAAACGTACACACATATATACATACATATGCTTTTCTATTTTTATTTTTATTTTTCTCATGAGAAGCAATATTGAGTTAACGTACCCTTGTTATGAAGATGGTATAGCTCTTTTCTTTCTTTTCAATTCCATTTCCATTGTTGCAATAAATTATGACATTGTATCCTGCTGATTTGGCCTTTAATTACTAGAAGTCCTTTATTAAGTTAATCTTTCTATACTAGAATTCAATTTCCAAAACTAGTTTGTTTTTTCTCATTGGCTTGAGATAAAGAAAAAACATATAATCTGTGGATGCTTGGAGCCATTTAAGGATTCCAGCTTGAGCTACTTTTTGTTACCTTAGGGGCATTTGGTTAAGGAGAAATCTTTTGAATACTAGAGAAATATAATTGATAGGGAAATGATTGGAAAGTGAATTTGATAGGAAAATGTAAAAAAAGTTATTTGGTACCGTAAAATATTAGTGGGGAAATTGAGTTAAATATGCTGACCGTATGTTTGGTTGAAAATAAAAGTTTGATGGGGAAATAAATAGAAATTATAAAAGTAACCTTTTTATAAAATTTTGAATGTTACATGTGGCTAAGAAGAGGGGTATTTTTGTCTTAATTTTCATCCACTTTTTCAATTTCTCCAGTTTTCCAAGAAATACCCTGTCGCAAACGGCATTCTTTAACAATGTAGAAGTACCTTTTTTACGTGCATTTGAAATTAGACAGGCAACTCTTTTTCATAGGTAAAAGTCATGATTCCATTCAACCAAACCTGGAGAACGAGAATGCAACATGCACTTCCCTAGGAAAATTTTGAGATATCCTGAAACAAACACCCCCTTAAAGGGTGTTTGGTAGATGGATTTTTTTTGGGTTCATGGGAAAGTGGGATGGGAAAAATTAGTTTCCCACGTTTGGTAAGAGAAAAAGTAAAAGTAATCCGGGTAAATTTTTTCCCATGATTTTGTTTTACACTGAAGATTCCCATCGGAGAATACCATGGATGGGATGGAAAAAAAAATTCTCCAATGGGTTGGGAAACTAGTTGATCATTTCTCAAACGAAAATACTTTCATCCACCAACCACCATCAAGACCACCAACTCCACAACATATCACCAGCCATAGATCCCAGCATCTCCTCTCACCCATACCACCGACCATGGCAACCACATCCCTCCCCGCCGCCAAGCTTCCACTGACAACCACGAAACCCTAGCCCACCTTCGCCCCTTTCTTCTCAATTTTCATCTTCCTCTAAACCCTCAACTAATCGACCCTCTACAGACTTCTCCTAAACCCAACCATCATCGTTCACCGCTTACCTCAACACGACCAACCATCAACCAACTCCTTCAATCATTCATCAAATCCTTCATATTTTGCCATTTGCATTAAAATGTTGAAGCATTGAAAATAGAGCTCTGACAAGCTTTGAGTCCAATCAGATATAATGGCTTATGGTGACACAGCTTTCAAAGCTTTGAAGACTTATGGAAGAGACCTGCTAGAGTGGAAGCTTGATCCAGTTATTGGACGAGATAAAGAGATAAAAAATGTTGTATAATTTTGTTGAGGAAGACGAAAAGTAACCGGTTCTCACGGGAGAACCAAGAGTTGGTAAAACCGAAGTAGTATAAGGCTTGACTCAAAGGATAGTTAGAGGAATGTTCCAAACAGTCTTGCTGATGTTAGACTTTTTGAATTGGATATGAGTGCATTCATACATTTTTTCTCTTGAATAAGGTGTGTTCGTAGGGGAGAATTTGTGTTAAAATTCAATATGGGAGAATAATATTTTTTATTCATACATTTTTCCCTTGAATGAGATGTGTTTATACCTAACAAACTTCCCAAATAATTATTGCAGGAAGCAACTTTACAACATATCCTATCCAAAAACTATCTCAACAAATTGATTCTAAGTAAGTATAACCATAATTTAAATTCAAATCCTATATGTTACAACTCTGTTCTTATCTTGGTGCAACAACAATTTAAATTTAAAATCTATCTTTAACACTCCCCTTAAGTTGGTGCATGAATATCAGTCATGCTCAACTTGGTAATTACTTCTTCAAATACTTTCTTCAAAATAACCAAGATTTCAGGCTGTTATTTGAAGTGTTGAAAACAAAGCTCTCACAAGCTTTGAGTCCAATTAGATATAATGGCTTATGGTGACAAAGCTTTCAAAGCTTTGAAGACTTATGGAAGAGACCTGCTGGAGTAAACTTGGAAGCTTGATCCAGTTATTGGACGAGATCAAGAGATAAAAAATGTTGTGATGATTTTGCTGAGGAAGACGAAAAGCAACTCGGTTCTCATAGGAGAACAAGGAGTTGGTAAAACTGCAGTAGTATAAGGCTTGACTCAAAGGATAGTTAGAGGGGATATTCCAAACAGTCTTGCTGATGTTAGATTTTTTGAATTGGCTATGGGTGCATTCGTACATTTTTCTTTTGAATGAGGTGCGTTCATAGGAAAGAATCTGTGCTAAAATTCAATATAGGAGAGTCATCTTTTTCATTCATACATTTTTTCTCTTGAATGAGATGTGTTTATACAAGTACTGCTAACAAATTTTCCATACAATTCCAGGAAGCAACTTTACAAAATATCCTATCCAAAAACTATCTCAACAAATTGATCCTAAGTAAGTATAACCAGAATTTAAATTCAAATCCTATTTCTAACAACTCTGTTCCTATATTGGTGCAACAACAATTTTACATTTTTTCTCTTGAATAAGGTGTGTTCGTATGGGAGAATTTGTGTTAAAATTCAATATGGGAGAATAATCTTTTTTATTCATACATTTTTTCCTTGAATGAGATGTGTTTATACAAGTACTGCTAGCAAACTTCCCAAACAATTGTAGAAACAACTTTGCAAAATATCCTATCCAAAAACTATCTCAACAAATTGATCCTAAGTAAGTATAATCATAATTTAAATTCAAATCCTATACGTAACAACTCTGTTCCTATCTTGGTGCAACAACAATTTAAATTTAAAATCTTTCTTCAACACTCCCCCTTAGGTTGGTGCATGAATATCAGTTATACCCAACTTGCTAATTACTTCTGCAAATACCTTTTCTTCATAATAATCAAGATTTCAAGGTGCTATTTGAATTGTTGAAAGCAGAGCTCTGACAAGCTTTGAATCCAATTAGATATAATGACGTCTGGTGACCCAACTTTCACAAGCTTTGAGTCTAATCAGATATTCCAAGAACATGTATTCCTAAAATCTTGATAAAGGAACAAAACATTATCGCAGAATGGCTGAGGTTCCAGGTGGTGAGTGTGAATAAGAAAAAAAAAAGTTAGAAGAAAACCCTAATTGAAAAAAGATGAAAGAAGAAGAAAAAGAAATTAAGAAGAAAGCAATTTCTTATATGATCATACACGCAAAACAGCTTTGATTTTATTTTTTTTGCTAGTTCTGCTTTTTTTTAAAATAGATATCTAAATGAACTTAAAGTGAGAAGTACTTTTTTTTTTCCTTAAAAAAAATTATTTTTGAAGAAAAAAAAATCCGTTGAAATCAACTATGTTCTTACCCATAAAAAAAAGAAAAAAAAAAAAGACAGAAACAGCCAAACTTGTTTAGTTGGCCTTACGAACACCTCCTTTAAAATGAGTTGAACAAATCCTGCAAGTAACATGAGCCAACTTATGAGCCCAATGAGTTGTTTCTTTTAGGCCTGTGGTTTCTAGAGTTTAAATTCAGGATTCTTAAAATAGGATTTGTGTTTGTCATTTTTTTCACTTTCTAAAAGTGAAACTACCATTTTCTCAAGATATGACTCAATTCTTTATCTTTTCCCTGTCTTTCCACTTAAAAGCCAATAACTCAGCATCAAGGATATACGTTTCCCTCCATTTCAAAGAGACACTACACAAGTTACGATGATAAGAAGAAATTAAGAATAAACGGCAAGCTTCAACTGCTATAGTTGACATAACGTATCACTTAAGCAAATTAATAACTAATACTTACACAGATAACGGAAATTGAAAAAAAAAAAAAAAAAAAAACAGGCGAACCTTACAACATTAGAGCCCAGTTTCTAGTGATTTCGTCTCAAGCAAAACCAAGCTCAGCTATTGAGCAGTTAATAATCGAAATGATCACTTGTTGATAGAATTTACATAGTTGAAATAACAATTATTTAGATAAATTATTCTAACGGTATAGATTATGCTAACAAATTGTAACAGGTGTGTAACTTGTGGCAATGCACACTCAACCTGAAAAGCTGTCTTATCTCACTTTATTCCGCAGAGATTGGGATTCATTACCATCGTTTATGCTTTTAAAGGACAAAGATATAAAAAAAAGACACCTCCTAAAACCTTTCTTCTAACAAACTGCTCTTTCGGGAATAATGTGAAAGCTGCTTCATCAAGTTTTTAGTTTGTGTTTCTTGCAAGTAATGACAAACCTCCCTTCCCTTCTCTTCCATTCATTTCCCTCTCTTTGGCGTTACTCAAATTTGCCCATCTTTGCCTGCCTACATAGATATAAATCTTTTCAACAAATTTATGCTGCAAAACAGAACAGCAGAGGCAAGCTGAAAGTTTGTATAGGCCAGGGACATCAAAGTAGAAATGGATGATTCTAAGAATCATGATGAAGAAAAGCTCCCACTGCTGCGAAATACGGAGGTTCCCGAAGCAGAGAGGAACCTGATTCAGAAAGCCATCAGTGAGACATTTAAGAGCACAGCCAATTTGGCCAACCTTTTACCAACTGGCACTGTCCTTGCTTTCCAACTTCTGTCCCCAATCTTCACAAATATTGGCAACTGTGACTCAGTCAGCAAATTCATGACTGCTGCACTTGTAGCTCTCTGTGGTGCCTCATGCTTCCTGCTATGCTTTACTGATAGCTTCAGAGACAACAAGGGGAATATCTGTTATGGGTTTGCCACCTTGAGGGGCTTGTGGGTCGTCGATGGATCAACCACCCTTCCACCTCAACTTGCAGCAAAATATAGCCTGCGGTTTATAGATTTCATGCATGCAGTAATGTCAATTTTTGTATTTACAGCAATTGCATTATTTGATAAGAATGTGGTAAACTGCTTCTTTCCAGCACCTTCAAAAGAGACACAGGAAATCCTTACAGCATTGCCGGTGGGCATTGGCGTTTTTTGCAGCTTGCTGTTTGTTGCATTTCCTACAGAGAGACATGGAATTGGTTTCCCCCTTTCAACAAAATAATAGCTGGCTTCTTATATTCATGCGTGTAACCAATTTCAATGATTTAATCCGACCCAGTTCAAATACCCACTTCGTGAGTGTCTGGGGAAGGGAATACTCTAGGCAGTCTTTCCCCTGCTTTTTGCAGAGAGGCTGATTCGAACCCGCGACCTGACACACCACGGCAATTAATATTAAATAAATTATCGTGTTTCGAAAAATATTATATATATTCAATTGAAATTCATTATTTATATTAAATATTATTCAATTGTAAATTTTATTTTATAATACTTTCATTTTATGTATTTAAACCTGGACCAAAACTAGCACTAGGAAGAATTCCCTACAGTCCATTCGTTATAAGCTATCTTGATCATGCTAGCAGTATTTTGTAAATAATAAATCTGAATCCCTTTTACAACTAAGTCAGTACTTTGTTTTCCCAAACTAATAAATCTGAATCACTCTCCTTTCAACCCCTCCTGCTATTTAAACAAAGCCCCTGCCCTTCCAATTTTAACCACCTAACCAATTCTATAACTACTTTGTAACTAATTCTATAACTGCCTAACTTGGTGGATCCTATTAAAATGTCATAAGTATAGGGGCAGCCTGGTGCTACAAAGCTTCAGTTATGGGTCAGGTCCAGGAAAGGGTCAACCATTGTGTGAATCTATAATAGGAAGCCCTATCTTTTATTTGTAAGAGACTGATTACATGAATCAAATCTATGACCTTCGGATCACATGGCAATAACACCCACGTCGTGCCAAGGTTTAATAAAAATTTACTTAGCAGTAGGCATTAGCAATCTGCATATTATTTTATCTAATAACAAGAATTTCCAACTTCTTTATTTTTGTTGTTACAGATAAAACAGAACATCAGAACCCAGTTAAAGGCTTAAAGATATCATGTGAATCCACAATTAAGCAAAATAATAGTGAGTTAAATCCCTTAGGAGTCAAGCCATACAAGTAGCAATCTGCAAATTAAGAATTTCAACTAAAATGTTAACAATTGCACTATGAATAGACTGAGGAATACTGCATCTGAATAAGCAAAAGTTTTCTGGAAATTGACAAAAAAATTCAATCCACAAGTAATGGGTTTGATCACAGAAAATGATTTTGCAATTACCTGAGTTTACCTTGCCCAGAAGGCCAGAACTCTGGAAAATCTTTTCCAACAAACAGTTTCCTCATTAAAGTTTCAAAAAAGGATGGGGAAGAACAAAGGCAGCGTCCACTGTTGAAGAGAGAGTGAGGATATATGAAATATAAAGTCAGCCCCAAAGGTAAGCCCATTTATAAATCTTGCTCTTGTGGAAGCATATCTAGTTCGTCAATTTGAAGCTGTCATGAATCAACTTAGATGAAAACACATGAATAGTTTTATATTACATCTCTAACACGACTCCAAATGCAAAAGTCATTCGGATTTGAAGCATGGACAATCAAAGGTTCGTCTACCTTGTACTAAAACTCAACTTTTTTATTAGAAGAACAGAAACATCATGGACCAAACTCTAGACCACTTGGTCATAGAAGCTTTAATATTATGTCATGAACCAATTTTTCCAAAAGCTTAAACTTTTAGATGAAAACACATGAATAGTTTTATATTACATGTCTAACAGAAGCTCTAAGCATCGGTCATGGAAGCACTAATCATTTGAGAACGCCAACCATTTGAAATGAGGAAGTGAGATCATGAATTGAAAAGGCTGCACCTGTTCATTGACCGAGAAAAAAGAAGAACATGTTAGTTTGGGTCTGTCAATAAATTAGCTGTCAAAATTGATATAAGCTAAAGATAGAACTATCTTTATAAGAAAAAAATATATAATCCAAATTCCATCGCCCATTAATTTAGACAGGAACTCATATCATTGCATTGGAAAAACAGCCATTTATACTAGAAATAGTTGCAGATTTACTTCGCACAAATTACAAACATGCCATTAAAGGGCTCAGCACATATTTAACAGAGCATAAATACGATAATAAATTAATAAGTAGGTTTTCTGCGCATAATACATTTTAATTGGTGACTACGTAACAACCTTTTACAAAAGAAAAAGCCAGGGGGGACCATGTGACGCCAAAGGTTTTAGTAAGATGCAACACATATCTATGGAGTCACAAACTTCAACTTTCAGACTCAACAATTTTTTGCTTCAGCTCAGCCAACAGTAGCTCAGTGGCTTCTCTCACTTTTTTCCGATCCCAAAGTCCACCCATTACTACATTCCATAATCCCTCATCTGGAATGCAGCCGTCTAATACCATCTCATCAAGAATCCGAGCAGCTTTGTGCAGGTCTCCTCTCTTACAAAAACATTTGACTAAACAGTCAAAAGTGCCAATTTCAACAGAGATCCCCCTAGTACGCATACTAAGATACAACTGAAAGGCACGTGGTGAATCAATATTATTACAAAGGCCTCGGACAACCTTGTTATGCATACTAACATGAAGACTCCAAGTTACTCGATTTGGTGGAATACCACCAAGCAACATCTCATCAATGAAGTTTGCAGCTTCTTGATAGCTGCATGCAGCACAGAGGCCACTTATGATTTTCCCATACAACCCTGCATTTGGTTTCAAGCCTTGGAGCCTCATTCTATCAAGAATCTCCACAGCTTCACTAAGCTTTCCTTCTTTACACAGTCCATTGATTAAAGTACTATAAGTGACCATGTTAGGTAAATGATGTTTTCTGACCATCATTTCTAACAACTCCATTGCTTGAAATGAAAGGCCACCTTTACATAAACCATCCATTAGAGAACTATAAGTAAAAACATTTGGCTCAATGCCATTTCTCTTCATCTCTTCAAGCAAACTTATAGCTTCATCCAAATTATTAGACTGACACATTCCATGTATCAAACTAGTATAGGTAACAACAGAAGGTGAAAAACCTTTCTGCTCCATCTCTCTGAATATTTCCTTTGCCTGACTGATTTTTCCCAGTCTACACAGCCCATTAATCAATGTACCATATGTATATGAATCTGGCTGGCATTCACGGTTGGGCATCTCACGAAATATCTGTAAAGCAGCATCAATAGTTTCATTGTTTTTGCAGAGGGCCTTGATCAAAATATTGAGGGAAACAACACTAGGTGGAATGCCCATTTCTCTCATGCCCCTGTAAAAACTAATAGCCCTTTTTACATGGTTTTCCTCCACAAGAATATCAAGGATTGTCACGTAAGATTTTTGAGTGGGCCTTAACTGAAAGTCTTCCATCTTGTGGAAAACCCTGATAGCATCAAGTGGCCTGTGCACACGTCCATAACCCCTGCATATAGTTACAAATATGTCCTCTGTAACCTTGCAATTTTCTTGCTTCATTCTCTCGAGCATTCCTTCTGCTGACCTGAACTGGTTCACAGTGATTAACCTAGAGATCATGAGACCAAAAGTTTTGTGATCATGACGAAACCCATTGCCATATTCAGCTGTTGCCGAATCAAACATAAGGACAGCTTTGTGTACGTCCTTTTCTGCTTTTATTAGCTGTTCAACTAGGGAATTCGTAATTTGCTTTGGCCATTTAAACAAAGTTTTACTGCCCATACCCCCAATTTATAACGCTTAAAAGTGGTAGATTTTGGAATTTTGTAATACTAGTTCCTCACAACAAGCATCTCCATGCAATAGCAGCACACATAAACATCATGCCCAGTTCACCAAACTACACAGGAAGCTGGTAGAACAACCAACTTTGATCACTGTGGCTCCAATATTCAAGTTTGTTTTACTTCTACGCATAGGTATGGGTGACGCATTTCATCAAAAAGGTCTCCGGCAAAATGAAGAAGCCGAACAATGAAGACTCAAACTGCGAGAGCTGTGTTAACTAAGATTGAATTGAAACCATCAAAAATTAAATTCTCTGTTTCAAGAATTTAATTGGATTATAGCAAGATCTCCGAAAATTCAATAAGGAAACCATGTTACCTTGTTTGGGAGTGGAGCACCGTCATCATGGTTTGTAAAGTTGTGATGACGAAGGTGCTATACGTACAATGGTTATTTGAGAAGAGAGTGGCGAAGGAGGCAACAAAATGCAGATCCATCGTAGCTACAAACCTGGTACTACTGGGTTTTGTTTTTTTATCATTGTTTCGTTTTGTTTCTCCAATGTTACTGCAATATGTTGTTTCGAGTTCCAAACATGGAAGAAGCCTGCCACCATGTATGGGCTTTATTTCTTCTCTTTTGGGCCTAAGACTTAATACAACTCAAGCTGGGCTTAAGCCTAGTACAAAATTGACCTAGGCCCGCACCATCCACTCATAATAATATCAAAGATAACTCCACTTTATGTTATGGTTTATCATTTAACTCATTTTTATTTTAAGGGAAAAGCAGATAAGTTATTTGCATTTATTTTCAAAACGACATCGTTTTAGTATTGAAATCTTACAAAATTATAAATATAAAGACTATTATAATCCTGAAATAAATTAAAATTACAAAAACACCATGATTTCTGCCCCAAAACGACGTCGTATTGAGCTTATTGCAGATAAATTATCTGCAGTAACCGCAAAAAAAGTGAACCCTTATTTTAAACTGTCATTTAGAATCTTAGATCACTGGTAGAGTGTAAATAGATTGGATTACATTAAAATTTGACATAGAAAAATTAGATCAATATAAAATATTTTAAATCTGCTATGTTAGTCTGATGTAAGCTAAATTATAAACTTCATCAAGCATATATTTATAAGTCCAAAAATATGGCCTAAACTTGTTAGTCTGACTAAGCCTCCATTAGGCCTTCAAGAATTAAAAACAATAACTATAACAATATTGCTTTATTATTTAAATCATAACTTCATTTATTATTCATAAAATAAATAGTATAATATATGTCAACATTGAGATTATTGGTAGGTGTGTAAATAGAAGTATAGAACGGGTGGTTTATCATGTATAGCCTAGTATATATAGTAAAATACAATAGACTAAAATTTTTTAAAAAATTTATTTAGAATATGGGACATGAGTCTTCTTTTACAAGGTTTTACTAATAAGTCGGGTTTTTTTGACCCTTTTTTCTCTCATTAATTATTTAATAACTATTTTGTCCCTTATTCAGAACTATCTACCAATTTGCCCCTCTTTAATCGATTAAGCCAAAAATTTAATCGATTAAATAGTCAAAATAGACAAAAAAAATCGTTGACTTGAAGATTTAGTCGATTAAATCTCCCTATTTAGTCGATTAAATCTCCCTATTTAATCGACTAAATCTCCCATAAATGGTCAAAAGAGAAATATTTAATCGATTAAATAAGGAAATTTAATCGACTAAATCTTCATTTGACCATTTAATCAATTAAATATTTCATTTAATCAATTAAAGAGTGACAGATTGGTAGATAGTTTACAATAAAAGGGCAAAATAGTTATTAAATAATTAACGAGAGGCAAAAGGGTGAAAAAGTCGATAAGCCGACTTATGTCATGTTATTTATTTTTAAAGAAATAAAAAATTTATTTAAATTTTTTTATAATATTTTATTGTTATTTTTTAATTTTCAATAGTCTAATAGACTTAAACAAGTTAACAAGTAAAAAAAAAAAAAAAAAAAAAAAAGTTAACAAACATAAGTTTGGGCTTTTAAATTTATATAAACCTAACTTATTTAAACAAAAACCTAGTCCAGTCTAGAGCTCAAAATTGGGTTAACTTGCCTAATGGGTTAGGGCAAAAAAAAATCCATAGAATCGAAGGCTCATAACAATAATAACTAACATGGGTTAAAAATCCTACAAAATTATTTTATTGAAATTAATGCATTCTACAAGTGAAATGAAAGAATTTTTTTAATTATTTTCCCGATAATTCTTGAACAGATAATTTTATATCAAAAACATTGAAGTTCTCGCTTTCTATTATATCCTAAAATAATTATATTTCGCATTAAATAACACTAATAGTGAAGATTTTTATTATTCAGTAATACTTTCAATATACGTGAAAAGATTAATGATTTGATTTTTTTTAGTAAAAATCAGTTAAACAAGATTATATATAACGCTCTCAACTTTTTTGCTGTAACAAAATCAAGTGATGCTGAAATTTTAAATGATTATGCATAATATCATTTTTTTACCATATTATTTTATAGTTTAAACATTTTTTAAGGGAAAAGTTCAAAAACCTCTCTATAGTTTATATTAAAATCAATTACACCCTTAAATTTTTATTATTATTTATCCTCATTGATTTTTTTTCAATTACCATGTTCCTATTCACCTTCCTCAACTTATTGAGTTGAAATTTTCATAGTGTAATTTTTTTATTCTACTTTGCTGCAAATTATATATTTTTAATTTATTATAATACTAAGGTAAATAATCAAACATATATTACTGTTCAAATCTTTAACTCCATCAAAATAAGTATAAACTCTTTATTTTAACTCAAACGGCTCCACATTTATTTGATTTTTTCTAGATTTTTCCGTTTTATTTGTGGTCAATTCGCTTGTCATCTATGTGTATTTGCTCATATCTTTGAGCTTAATGTTAATGAGTATTGCATAACAATAGACCAATTTACTCCTTAATATATTAGTATTTTTTCCAACATTTTTTTTTTTTTTTGTTACTTATCCCTGGCTCACAATTTTTTTCTTTTGAACCCAGAATAAAATTATATTTACATATAAATTGATTACTTAAATAATTTTTAATTTTATTTATTAAATTTAAGATATTACTATATTTGTTAAACTCTGGTCAAGTCAGTTTTATTAAAGATATATAATTTTTTAAAAAGAAAAATAATAGTCATAAGTTAAGCTTCATTCAGCTAACAAATAACAATGTTATAATATTATCTTATTGGAAGATCCAAATTAGTTGTTAATTTGCAGCTTTCATTGTAATCTTTTCTCAATATCGTTGGGATGAAATTTTTTTAATAGTTTGACATAAATTTTAGAAAACAATGATTTTTTACAAGGTAAAATGAATATTTTAATTTAAATTTTAAGAGAAAAATCATAAAGATGTAAGGGATTTTAAGAGAAACCATACAAAGTGTAACATCTAAAGAGCTGGCAAGGGCAGGGAGTGATCGTCGGTGCGAAAGGGCACGGTCAATGAGCGACTCATGCCAAATCTTGCAGCTTGGGGGTTCATGAATGAATCGAATCAACACCGAAAGAGAGGGATTCCAGAGACTGTGTTGGTATGGGACGGTACAGTTAGGAATGACTTATAAGAATTAATTGGTACTACCTATACTAACAAGATGCATCTACTTTTCGGTAGCCCGGATCGGAAGAACTCCACAGTTAAGCGTGCTTGACTTGGAGCAATTCTGGGATGGGTGACCTCATGGGAAGTTTTCCCGGGAAGTGTGCGAGTGAGGACAAAGCACACTGAAAAGTCTTGTGTTAGTGTGTGGGGCATTTATTGATTCTTGCAAGTGGCCGGACGTTACAAGTGGTATCAGAGCAGGGCCTCTCTTCCAGTACGGTGTGGTTCGAGGACGAACCAGGCGGAAGCTGGTGGGCATGTAACATCCCAAGAGCTGGTAAGGGCAGGGAGTGATCGCCGGGGCGAAAGGGCACGGACAATGAGCGGCTCATGCCAAATCTTGCAGCTTGGGGGTTCATGAATGAATCGAATCAACACCCGAAAGAGAAGGATTCCAGAGACTGTGTTGGTATGGGACGGTACAATTAGGAATGACTTATAAGAATTAATTGGTACTACCTATACTACTAACAAGATGTATCTACTTTTCGGTAGCCCAGATCGAAAGAACTCCACAGTTAAGCGTGCTTGACTTGGAGCAATTCTGGGATGGGTGACCTCCTGATAAGTTTTCCAGGGAAGTGTGCGAGTGAGGACAAAGCACACTGAAAAGTCTCGTGTTAGTGTGTGGGGACAATTATTGATTCTTGCAAGTGGTCGGGCGTTACACAGAGGGAATTTTTGAACTTTTCTCTTTTTCAAAGTATGAAGAGATATTCGTAACAATATAAGCTATTATGTATTATTATTATATATTTTAAGAACTTAGTTATACCCACACCAAAATAAAAAGAACTTAGTTATACCCACACCAAAATAAAAAGAACTTAGTTATCCCCACACCAAAATAAAAAGAACTTTAGTTATTTACCAAAAAAAAAAAAAAACTTTAGTTACAATTTTATAAATGGTGAACATATAATTGAAAACCTTGTTAAATTATAAAAAAATTAGATATATAAAAATCCCATTGAAATTTTTTAAATTAAATGAAATTGTGTAAAATTTTAACAAATTACAAAAATATACATAGAAAACTAAATATTTATTAAGCTTTAAAGACAAATATCGAGAATTTACAATTTGTTATTTTATCTAAGAGAATCATAGAAAGATTTAAAATAATATAAAAATGGATTCTCTCATGTTTGATTTGAACATGACCAAGTCATATAAATCTCAATCATTCAAGGACTAATCAATGGTTAGTAATTAATTTGAATATTTCATCTTTTTTGTTCTATAAATTTTATTATTAAAATTGTGGTCATTAATCTGTTATTGAATGATTGAGATTCATGGCATGATATAATTATGTTAAAATTAGACATGGGAGGATTCATTTGCATAGGAATTTTCCCTGCCTAATATTAGTTATTAATTATTAGACAAATGACATTTTTAAAACATTCAAGACGGATGGATTCAAATTTGGATGATTAATAAAATATAAATTTATATTTTAATATAAGTTTTTCTCTTATATATTATTTATATTTTGATATAGGGGTATTTTTAATAATAAATATATATAAAGGTCTGGATCGTTTTATATCAGTGTAAGTTATACTCTCAATCTTGGTCGTGGATTCCATTTATATCTAATGATTCTGATTTACTAGATATTTGAACCATCAAATGCAAGCAAATCAATGATCAAGATTTTGTGTAAGACTTCTTATTCTTACACCGGTGTAAGAATATCTTACAATTTTCAATAAATGATAACTGTTGATTGACGGAAATCAACGATTAGGATTTGGTGTCAAATTTTAAAGTTCGGCACCAGTATCAAAAGATCATGCACCTAAATATATATATATATATATATATATGGGAAGGGTTATACTTACTACCTCCTAAGTTTACTACCCTTACTACCAAATTTCCCACCATTAGATGAATTTTGAATCCAATGACTCATATTTACCTCTTATAAACCTTTTTTTTTCGTCACTCATCCCTGTAAAACTATTTGTGTCTCATGTGTAACGTGTGTCAATCGATTTAATTAAATAACAAAAGAGGCTTTATGGTAATTGACGTTTCGCATTAATGGTAATTGACGTTTTGACGTTTTGCATTATGGTAACGTTTTACAATAATGGTAATTGACGTTTTGACGTTTCGCATTAATGGGAAGTTACAGGGAGTTATTTGAAACTCCGGTGACATGGTTCAGTTATATAAAGAGAAAAATGGTGAGTCTCTGTGATTTTATCTCTCAGAATTCTCTCCTTCATGGTCTGCCCATAAAAGTTGTATCAGATCCCTGTCATAGACGATACAAGGAAAGCAGAGGGTAAAGACTCTGAGAAACAATCTTCCATCATTAAAGTTCTTCATCAGAGTTCTTCCGCACTAATGGAGAAAGGTACGCTCTTATGTGAAAATCATGAATTCTAAAGATCCTGTATCATGTTCTTGAATGATCATTGTTGAGCATGTATTAATGAATTACTGATAAATTGCTTACATGTGGTATCAGAGCCAGTGTTTAAGAATTTGTGTTTTTCCATAAATAATTATGAATGAATTTCTGATTCATGAAAAGTTAGGGTTTTTGAAAATAAAATTCACGATCATCATTTGAATTTTGCGTTCATATTACGGTTTGCATATTGATTTGAAATGCATATGTCAAATACTGCATTTTATGATGTCGCGAGTTCTGAAGAAAACAATTTCGAATTGATTTTGTATTTCACAAAAGGACGAAAACGAAAACATGAAGTCCCTTTACGTTAATATGAATTTGATGGTTTTCGTGTCATTTGCCATTCTCGGAAACGTATGCATTTGGGCGTTGAATGGAATTTCATTTGAAAATTGGTTGAATGCATTTGCCATTCTCGGTTTTCGAGTTTTGAAGCAAAATTTTGATTTGGTTTTGCAATACAATTACGTCGGTTTTCAATTCAATTCAATGTGAATATTTTAATGCCATTCAATTCAATTCAATTCGATTCTGTGTCGTTTTCCGTTCCAATTCAATGCCATTCAATTTTTAATGCCATTCGATTTAATGGATAAAGGTACTGTATGTAAATATATATTCTGATATTGAATGTGAAAATTGAATGATTATGTAATATTCACAGTTTTAAATTGAATGATTTTGTGATGTGGTTGGATTAAAATTAAATGTGAAAATTTAATCCTATTATTGTTTATGAAATATCAAAAGTTTTGAAATTAATTATGGTAGATTTGTTAGTCACCAAAGTGGCCAAATCTTGAAGAGTTATTTTAATTTCAAATATAATGAATTTTATTTCAATTACCATGACTGTGATGCTATGAAGAGTATGAAATAATTTTCTAGTTGTGGTATATTGAAGTTCATTATTGTAGGACAGTTAGGGATCAACCCAAAGGTTGATTATTTGTTTTATAAAATGAACATGGATGTTAGTATTGTTGGCATATTTTCTCACATTTGGACATCCAAAGATGGCAAATATTTATGATAGGGGTATGCATCATTGCCAAATTATGTGAAATTTATATAGCATCATTATAGTTAATGTTGTATGTTAATGGATCCCCAAAGGTGAACATTGATATGCATTGAAGTTAGTATATTTGAATCTGTGAATTATGTTAGTATGTGACATGTATGACTCAAAGCATTAATGTTTTTAAATGTTATTCCTCGCAGTACTAGTTGCTACACATTCCATGTTCTCAATTGTTGTAGTTTTTAATGGGCTGAACTTCTCTGAATGAAAAGAGCAAATCAATTTTTACCTTGGGGTAATGGATATGGATTTGGCTCTTAGAGAAGAGGAACCTGGTGCTATTACTCCTGAAAGCACTGAGGATGAAAGGGACCATTTTAAGAACTGGGAAAGATCCAACAGAATAAGTCTGATGTACATGAAAATGAGCATAGCAAGCAACATTAAGTCAGTTCTTCCACAAACTGAAAGTGCCATCGAAATGATGAAACTTGTGGAAGAGCGCTCCCAAACCGCTGATAAGTCTCTTGCTGGGACACTTATGAGTACACTGACCACCATGAAGTTTGATGGTTCGCGTACTATGCATGAGCATGTTATTGAAATGACAAGCATTGCGGCAAAACTGAAAGCATTGGGAATGGATGTGGATGAGAACTTCCTGGTGCAGTTCGTATTGAACTCATTACCGTCTGAGTATGGTCCTTTCCAAATGAACTATAATACCATGAAAGACAAATGGAATGTGCATGAATTGCACAGTATGTTAGTTCAGGAGGAAACCAGACTTAAGAATCAGGGAGCTCATTCTATCAATTATGTAAAGCATCAAGGAGCTGAAAAGAATAAAGGAAAGAAGCATGAGAAGAAAGGAGGAGGAGGAGGACCCCTTAAAGTGAATGAGGCCTCTTCTTCTAAAATCCACAAAAAGGAAAGTAATGCAAAGATGAGGTGCCATTTCTGTAAAAAGGAAGGGCATTTCAAAAGGGATTGCCTGAAACGTAAGGCTTGGTTCGAAAAGAAAGGTAAGCCTAGTGCTTATGTATGTTATGAATCAAACCTGGCTGAAGTTCCTTATAATACTTGGTGGATTGATTCTGGTTGTACTACTCATGTTTCTAATACAATGCAGGGATTTCTTATGACCCAAACCACAAAGCCAAATGAAAAGTTTGTCCTTATGGGCAATAGAGTGAAAGTTCCGGTGGAAGCTGTTGGGACTTACCGTTTAATTCTCGATAGTGGATTTCATTTGGATTTACGTGAAACTCTTTATGTACCTAGTATATCTAGGAATTTAGTTTCAATTTCCAAACTTGATGTTGCTGGATACTCTTTTAAATTTGGTAGTGGTAGTTTCAGTTTGTACAAGCACAATCATTTGATTGGTAATGGTACTTTATGTGATGGATTATATAAATTATGTCTTGATAATCTTTATGCTGAAACACTTATGACTCTGCATCATAATGTTGGTACTAAACGTACCTTAATTAATGAGTGTTCCGCTTACTTGTGGCACAAACGTTTGGGACATATTTCCAAAGAAAGGATGAAAAGATTGGTAAATAATGAAATCCTTCCGGATTTAGACTTTACTGATTTGAATGTTTGTGTGGATTGTATTAAAGGAAAACAAACAAAACACACAAAGAAAGGAGCCACAAGGAGCACTCAGCTTCTTGAAATTATACACACTGATGTATGTGGTCCGTTTGATGTTAATGCCTTCAATAAAGAAAAATATTTTATCACTTTCATTGATGATTATTCACGTTATGGTTATGTCTATTTGTTGCATGATAAGTCTCAAGCTGCAAATGCTTTGGAGATTTATATTAATGAAGTTGAAAGGCAATTAGATATAAAGGTGAAGATTGTCAGGTCTGATAGGGGTGGTGAATATTATGGAAGGTATGATGAAAGTGGACAACATCCGGGCCCATTTGCTAAATTTCTGGAAAAGCGTGGTATTTGTGCTCAATACACAATGCCCTGTACACCGCAACAGAATGGTGTATCAGAAAGGCGTAATAGGACCTTACTGGATATGGTTAGGAGTATGTTAAGTAATTCTTCTTTACATGTTTCATTGTGGACTTATGCTCTAAAAACTGCCATGTACGTATTGAATAGGGTTCCTAGTAAGTCAGTTCCAAAGACTCCTTTTGAACTTTGGACTGGAAGGAAACCTAGTATAAGACACCTGCATGTTTGGGGTTGTCAGGCAGAGATTAGATATTACAATCCGCAAGAAAAGAAACTAGATGCAAGGACAATCAGTGGTTATTTCATTGGTTATCCAGAAAAATCGAAAGGGTATAGATTTTACTGTCCTTATCATATTACAAGGATTATTGAATCTGGAAATGCAAGGTTCATTGAGAATGGTGAAGTTAGTGGGAGTGAAACACCACGTAAAGTGGATATTCATGAAGTGAGAGTACAAGTTACATTACCTTGTAGCTCTAGTAAAGTTATTGTTCCTTATGCTATTGAACCAATCAATAATAATGAAGGACAAGTTAATGATCCCACTACTTATGAAGAGATCATTGTTGATGAACCGAATGAACCCATAGTAGAAGAACCACAACAAATAGCATTAAGAAGATCTCAAAGAGAAAGGAGACCTGCTATTTCTAATGATTATGTGGTATATCTACAAGAATCTGAATTTGACATGGGTATTCAGGATGATCCAGTAACGTTTTCACAAGCCATGAATGGAGAAAATGGTGATAAATGGTTAGATGCCATGAAAGATGAGTTGAAATCTATGGAACAGAATAAGGTCTGGGATATTGTTGAGTTACCAGAAGGGTGCAAGAGAGTTGGTTGTAAATGGGTCTTTAAGACCAAACGTGACTCTCATGGTAACTTGGAACGTTACAAGGCCAGACTAGTTGCAAAGGGATTCACTCAGAAAGATGGCATTGACTATAAAGAAACTTTTTCACCAGTTTCAAAGAAGGATTTGTTAAGAATTATTATGGCATTGGTGGCTCATTATGATCTAGAGTTACACCAAATGGATGTGAAAACCGCCTTTCTAAATGGAAATTTAGATGAAGATGTGTACATGGACCAACCAATGGGGTTCATAGAAAAGGGTAAAGAGCACATGGTGTGCAAACTTAAGAAGTCAATATACGGACTTAAACAAGCTTCACGGCAATGGTACCTTAAGTTCAATGATACCGTTGTTTCCTTTGGATTTAAAGAAAACATCGTTGATCGATGTATATATCTGAAGATCAGTGGGAGCAAGTTCATCTTATTGGTTCTGTATGTTGATGATATTTTTCTTGCAACTAACGATCTTGGTCTTTTAACTGAGACTAAGAAGTTTCTCTCTAGTAACTTTGAAATGAAAGATATGGGTGAGGCAGCTTATGTGATAGGAATAGAAATATTCCGTGATAGATCACAAGGACTGTTAGGTTTGTCTCAGAAAGCATATATTAATAAAGTTCTAGAGAGATTCAGAATGGAAAACTGCTCATCATCTCCAGTTCCAATTCAGAAAGGAGATAAGTTTAGTCTCTTACAATGTCCTAAAAGTGAATTGGAACGAAAAGAAATGGAAGCAATTCCGTATGCATCATTAGTTGGGAGCTTAATGTATGCTCAGACTTGTACGAGACCAGATATTAGCTTTGCAGTTGGGATGTTGGGTAGATACCAAAGTAATCCCGGTATGGATCACTGGAAAGCAGCAAAGAAAGTTCTGAGATATTTGCAAGGAACTAAAGGTCACATGCTTACTTATAGAAGGTCTAGCAACCTTGAAGTTATTGGATACACAGATTCGGATTTTGCAGGATGCGTAGACACAAGAAAATCTACATGTGGTTACCTGTATTTTTTAGCTGAAGGAGCTATATCATGGAAAAGTGCAAAGCAGACTGTAATAGCTGCGTCCACTATGGAAGCTGAATTTGTGGCATGCTTTGAAGCCACGATTCAGGCTAAATGGCTACGGAACTTTATTTCAGGGCTTGGATTGGTCGACAATATTGCAAAGCCGCTGAAAATTTATTGTGATAATTCTGCAGTTGTCTTCTTTTCTAAAAACGACAAATATTCCAAAGGTGCTAAACATATGGAATTAAAGTACTTTGCCGTTAAAGAAGAGGTTCAGAAACAAAGAGTGTCTATAGAGCATATTAGCACCGATCTTATGATAGCTGATCCCTTGACGAATGGATTACCGCCCAAGACATTTACTGGTCATGTATGTAGAATGGGCATTATGTCAGCTAATGAATGATAAAAATTATAGTTATGTATTAAAGTATTGACACTCTGAGCTCATTGATGAATATATGTTTCTGATATTGTCTTGTTTTTCAATTTATGTATGCATGCAAGTATATGTGATGATATTGAAAATATTTGTGGTCCGTTATGAAGACATTATTGTTGGACATAATGTGTACTTCCTATTAAAGTATCATGTTAGGAAGAAGAGTCAATATAGTAGTACATGGAAGGGACTATGCCGACTTGATAGCATACAACCGCCATGACTCATGTTGATTTTATTTCTAATAATGAATTATGATGACGTCAATGTATGGAACCTTTAGGCTAGTAAATGCGCATTATAGTGAATTTTAATTAAATCATGAAGGGACACCTTATGACATGAGCCAAGTGGGAGAATGTAAAACTATTTGTGTCTCATGTGTAACGTGTGTCAATCGGTTTAATTAAATAATAAAAGAGGCTTTATGGTAATTGACGTTTCGCATTAATGGTAATTGACGTTTTGACGTTTTGCATTATGGTAACGTTTTACATTAATGGTAATTGACGTTTTGACGTTTCGCATTAATGGGAAGTTACAGGGAGTTATTTGAAACTCCGTAACTGGTGACATGGTTCAGTTATATAAAGAGAAAAATGGTGAGTCTCTGTGATTTTATCTCTCAGAATTCTCTCCTTCATGGTCTGCCCATAAAAGTTGTATCAGATCCCTGTCATAGACGATACAAGGAAAGCAGAGGGTAAAGACTCTGAGAAACAATCTTCCATCATTAAAGTTCTTCATCAGAGTTCTTCCGCACTAATGGAGAAAGGTACGCTCTTATGTGAAAATCATGAATTCTAAAGATCCTGTATCATGTTCTTGAATGATCATTGTTGAACATGTATTAATGAATTACTGATAAATTGCTTACAATCCCTTCTCTCTCTAGGTCTCTGGGAATTGCACACACGCTCACCACTCTCTCCAACTTCCTCTCGTCATGGTTCTTTCTTTTCCGGTTCCATTCATCGTTGCTTTTCTTTCTTCGTTTTTTAAATTTCTTTTGTCACCACCACCATCCCTTGCGGAACCATTCTGACCTTCCCCTTCTTCATGAACATGAACCCTAACATCATATCTCTCCATGATTCGAAGTCTTTCTCGCACCTCTTCGATACTTCTACCTTTCAGAACAAAATTACCTTGTCTAATGGCTCATACTTATCCCATATAATCCTAATTTTTCCCTCACTCATCCCCTATCTCTTTCTCTCTCTATGTCTGGGAACTGCACAGACACTCCCTGCTCTCTCCAAATTTATCTCTTCATCGTTGCTTTTCATTCTTTTCTTTTTTTAAATTTCTTTTGTCACCATTCATCGCTCTCCATGAACGACGACGAGGAGCAACAAACTCAGGCGGAAAACTCTTTTTCACCGCAGTGCATGCCGACAAGCATCACGCCCTTGGTAAATATTTTAGCTTCTTCTAAGAACTTCGAACATTATTCTAAGATAAATAATAGATTGGGGTTGGTGTGGCAATATCAAACTGAATTGTCAAAGAGTCACTGATTGTGGGGTTGGTATGATAAGATCAAAAGAAATTGTTATAAAACACTAGTATTCATGAACTATAAGAAACTTAAAAAACGAGGACACAATAAGCGCACATGCAAAGTTATAAATCTATAAAAGGTATGCTGCTTCATCTTATGCTCTATTGTTATTAATTAAATATAAAAAATGGTCCCGCCTAAGGAGGAATCTTTTGAACATATGGTCAGTTTGGTCTTCCCTTAAAAATGAGTTTAAAAATTCATGGATGTTGTATATGCAAGATTTAACTTTGAGTTTGTTGGATAAGTGCCAGAAATCACTTTATGTCATCAAGGGAATTATGGAAAGCATAACAGATGATTAAGTGACACTTTTTGTGGCTTTATATCTTTTTGAGTTTGTTGGATAAGTGCCAGAAATCACTTTATGTCATCAAGTGGACACTGCCAAGCATGCTGCGGAAGTTGTTCAAAATCCTAATGTACATAAACAGAGATGCAGATTTGATTTGATTTTAGATAAAAAGAGATGCAACTGTCATGAGGTGAAATTTATTAAGATTGTTTGTTATTGCTCTTATTATGCTGTGGTTGTTAACCCTAAATAGTTTGAGATCATGAAATATTTTGTGCACTAAAGAGTGGGTTGTATCCTTAGCTTATTCTGGTCATTACTCATTAGTTGACTTAGCCCCCTAGTTGACCCATCAGTACCAAACAATTTGAAACCAGTATTCCCTTTATGTTGTGTTTCTTTCTTTCTTTCTTTCTTTCTTTCTTTGGCTATATAATAATCACTTGTTTATTTCAATGAAGGCCAATATGGAAGATGATGAGGACTTTATTGTTATGCTATTTGAGATAAATCCTATTTTTTTGGGTTATATATGAATCAGAGACCATTGTCAAATCTGAAAATTCTAGCACTATTAAATGTCATTTAGAGTAAGTGATAGAAGTGTCTTTTTCTTCTGAATTTTTTTTTTTTGCTTTCCCTCTCCCTTTGAAATTAATCCATTTTCATTTACCATTCTTGTTTGGTTGTGTCTTCTTCCTCTTCTTAATAGCTGAAAGAATCAATATGGGAAGGCACACAATAACATACTGATTACGTAAAAGAAAGGAGTACATTATTCCTCCAGAATATGGGTCATACAGAAGGAAACTTTTGAACATATGGTCAGTTTGGTCTTCCCTTAAAAATGAGTTTAAAAATTCATGGATGCTTTATATGAAAAATCTGTTTTTGAAATTACTTGATTAACTCTTTTGAAATTACAGAAACATCCAGATGCTAAGACTGTAAAAAGTGATGGTTAAGGAGCTATGCACAATATTTTCTGAGCCAGCAACTAATGGCAAGCATGAATATTTAGGTGCACTTGAAGGTGAACATGCATCTAGAACTCCTTGTTCAAAACTCTTGAGACGCACCAAGAAGAGTCCTCATCTGGATCCCAGGATGAAGAAGATGCTAATGACCCTCTTAACAATTTAACCTACTACACCTTCTGCAACTTGTAACCGTAAAAGATGTTATACTTTTTGATATAGCATATTATAGATATGACATAGTATTTGGATCTGCATTGAAAATGCAAGCAACATCTTATGTTTCTTGTTTCAGACAATTTGTTTTTTTTTTGTATCCTTGTTTAGATCCAGCTTCTTAAATGTATGCAAACTCACTGCCATGGATCTGTTCTGCTTTTATCCTTTGATTGGTTTTATATATTGCTCTAGAAAGTTAATTATGCGATTAGGCCATAACATACTAGAAAGTTATATATCATAAATGTGATCCAGAGACACACTATAACTCCATAACTTAAAATCTGTTCACTTATATGAGCAGTCATATCAGGAATTTTAGTACACATCAAACTAATAAACACAATAGACACGCCCCAATATGATCAAAGCAAGCCCCATTAGAACATGGCTGGTAGCCTTCAAAGCTTTCCTTTCTTCAGCTTGGATGTGCTCGGCAACATTGAAATTCCCTGCATGAATGCAATCCCCATTTATCAATAGAAGATAAAAATCAATAAAACATGCATTAATCTTCAATCACTACGTGCAATTAAAATTAATCTCCAATCAACATTGAATTGTTTCTTTGATGTCCAGCACGGTTGCACTATTGTAAAATATGAAGTTGTTGAATATGTTATCAATGCAGCTGAGGACCAAATTTGTGTTTGACAGACATGGTCCTTTACAGAATTCATCAGTTCTCTGTGCAGGCACGTTCAGGTTTGGCAATATGCGACTTTCTCACCCTCATATATCCAAAAATAAATAGAAGTTAAACAACAAAATCTAGAACTAAAATAGGCAACAGAAACGAAATATTCATCAATTGCTTTGGTTGGGAAACTAAATTTTGTATTTATAATGATTCTAAACTATAACTTAGACAAGGTAATTTTGTTCTGAAAGGTAGAAGTATCGAAGAGGTGCGAGAAAGACTTCGAATCATGAAGAGATATGATGTTAGGGTTCATGTTCATGAAGAAGGGGAAGGTCAGAATGGTTCCGTAAGGGATGGTGGTGGTGACAAAAGAAATTTAAAAAACGAAGAAAGAAAAGCAACGATGAATGGAACCGAAAAAGAAAGAACCATGACGAGAGGAAGTTGGAGAGAGTGGTGAGCGTGTGTGCAGTTCCTAGAGACCTAGAGAGAGAAGGGATGAGTGACGAAAAAAAAAAGGTTTATAAGAGGTAAATATGAGTCATTGGATTCAAAATTCATCTAACGGTGGGAAATTTGGTAGTAAGGGTAGTAAACTTAGGAGGTAGTAAGTATAACCCTTCCCATATATATATATATATATATATATATATATATATATATATATATATATATATATATATATATATATATATATATATCTCTCTAGTTGATTTTACTGCAATTACCAAATAAAAATGAATAAAATAAATTAGGAAGTAAATATCTTTCACTTAAAATTGTTTAAAATAACGATTCAAATAAAAAATCTCATTGAATCATTAAAGTATATATTTATTATATATATTCTATAGAATTATACATATAGTATATTTATATTATTATAATATATTTATAATTTATTTTAATTTTTATATACATGGGATCAAAATTTCTCCTGTAACATAAGATAAAATTATTTCTTGAAATTCTAAAAATAACTTCGTTTTAGGGGATTTGGAAAAAAAATATGAGGTCTTTTAGTAAAATTACATGATACAAATAGAAAGTAAAATTACTAAATCATGCATTTTTTTCAAATACAAAAAACAACATCATTTTGAAATTGTTGGAAGTAGTTTCATCTCATATTGTAGGATAAATGTTTTTGATAAAGAAAATTTTTGACCTGTGAATTAGTCACAAGCTAACCCGTTAAATCAAAAAGTTTTGGGAGTTATAGAAAATCTTACCACAAAGTGAGCTTTATGGGTTTCGGCGGGATCTAACCCGCGAGCTACAACTCATTTTAACAACTCCAAGACCAACTCATTTACACCCTCACATAGGCGTTAAAAAAAAGTCTATGATTAACTTCCTAAATATGTTTTTTAAGGCTCGGATTTATTATATTTTACTTGGAGTCCGTTTAATTCGTTAAAAAAAGTGACTAAACAACACAAAAATCATTGTTCCGTTGTTTGGTCAAAATGAGGGAGCAGGCTTCAAGGACTGTACAAACTTTTGCTTAGTTAAAATAAGACTGCGTTTTGAATTTGAATTGAGGGTGTGTTTGTAGAAGATTTTGTTAAGGATAGCTAAGTAAATGGAAGTGGTATTTTTTGATGTCCATGCCAATATCATGTTTTAAAAAAATTTGCTAGGAAACTCATTTGCCTAATATTTATTTTTTGTGTGTAAAAAATACTGTTGAATAATACCATCTACAAGGTGGTATTTGTTGATAGATGGAGAAATCTAAAAAGTATTGTAAGCAAGGAGACCAAAAATCCAAAATGACTATGATGTTTGAGAAAACTACAACATCTAGAACTATATTTTACCATTTTATTTTAGTCAAGGGTTGTTGTGGTAATTTAATCATATTTTTACACCTATATTTTACTTTCAATCAAACATAGACTTACAAAATTCTACCCAATTTTTCCCGTAAAATTTTGGCCAACCAAACAATTTTTTTCTTTTAATTTTTCTACCAAACTTCATTTCCCACCATATCTCTAGTAATTATATTTTCTTGATAAAAATTTTTTTCTACTCTACCAAACACGCCCGAGAGATTATGGCTGTTACCATTGCCTCTTTTGTGACGTGGTGTTCAATGTCGTTTGGTCAATACGTTAAATTACGTATGTGGTTCCCATGTTCAATCTTTCTTTTTATTTTTGAAACATTGCATATCTTATATCTACACTCATAAATTGGAATAATGTCAATTTTATCTTTATCATTCATGTGGCATGGGAGTAGGAACTAGCAACTAGGAACGTTGACATTAGAAGTGGCGTCTCTACTTTTTTCGGTTCCCAAATCCACCCATTACTACATTTCCACATTCCCTCATCTCGAATGCAGCTGTCTAATACAATCTCAACAAGAATATGCATGAGCAGTTTTATGCAGGTTTCCTCTCTTACAATAACATTTGATAAAGCACTCAAAAGTGCCAATTTCAACAGAGATAACCCAAGGACACATATATAACACTTTGAGTGAAAATATTTTAACCTTCTATTTTTTTTCAATATTTCTTTTAAATTTAAAAATACTCGTGAAATACACGTAACACATGTAAATTTGAGTGGACTTTATAAACGTAAATGCAATTTTGTAGAATCTTAAATATAGCTCCCACCTCTAAAAAAGGAAAAAAGAAATCCGCTTGAAAATTGTTTCATAATATGGTCGGTCAAACAGAGCTTCCATTTCTAAAAGCGTAATTTAGACGGAATGAAAGCTCACATTTCAAACAAGATTCGTAAAATTTAAAATAATTAATAAAACGTAATTTTAAAGCAATATCGTAGTGGCCGGTGGTCGGTGGAGCTATGATTATGATTTTAAAAAAATAAAAAAATACATTTAAGAGAAACTAGGTTTCCAGAATAATAAATCATCTAAATTGAGTTCTACGTTTTTATTATATCGAATTTAAATGACTGATAGTTCACACGGTGACATTTATCAGCTAGTATTATGTATATATCTTAAAATCATGGCAAAAAAATATTTGAACTATTTAAACCGTTAACGATTATTACTGTTTGATTCGAGTCAGTATTTAGAATACTTATCTTAAAATTAAAAATTCTGAACTACCTAATTATATTTAAGGGTTCATTTTTCTGTAATTAATGTAGATAAATTATCTACATTAAGTCTAAAAAGACGTCATTTTTTGGCAAAAATCAATATATTTTTGTAATTATAATTTATTTCAGGATTATAATAGTTTTTTCATTATACTTTTGTAATTTGTCAACATAAAATGACGTCGTTTTGGAAGTGAATGTAAATAACTTATCTACATTCACCGTAGAAACATTAAAGTCTATATTTAATCATATTTTATAAATTGAATTCAATTTTATTATTCCTCAAAGGAAATTACATCATTAATCATGCGGTATGTAAGTATAATTATTAAGGAGATGTTTATAGAATGTTCTTGGATTTTTTTTTAACAGTATTAAAATTCACAAGTATACATGATAGCTTAAGTTCTGAATATTAGCTATTAAGGGAGTGTTTACATTACAACATCTAATAAGACATGATTTCAGCATTGAAAGGATTGCTTCAAAACCTTCATTTGTTTGCTAAAAATGATTGGTTTAAGTGGTAAGAAATTTATTTATGTAAATTTGTAGTTCGAATCATGAAAATAAAATAAAAAAATATTAAAAGAATCACCCAGTATGAATCCAAACTTCAGACCAAATTCAATAAAAAAAAAATCATTATTTAATCAATCCTTCCTTTTCTGTCACATGTATTATAACCAATTCAGCAATTTTCAATAATATAGAAAGAGTCCTCGCTCCAACCAGCACGCAAGATGGTGTCATACACTATAAAACTATTAAAACGCGTGCAATCCAAGATGAAAAATAAAATGTTGAATTCGTCCCAATTTGCATTGCATTTCAAAAAGGAAAACTAATCAGCAATCGTGCATAACATTACACATTCTATAAAAAAAAAAAAAAAAACTATACCTTTAATTGTAATTACTGTAAATTAACAATTCTTAGAATAATTTTAGAAAAACTAATATTTTAATCAAACACTCAACATACATATAAGACTTTTCAACAAACCTATGGTGATCAAAGTCTTATGCATGATCGGAATTTAAAATAGAAAAAATCATCGTACACGCATCAATAGACTTAAACAATAATTAAATAAGTCCAACATCACATCAACCATAATTTTAAGGAAGAAGGATATTTATATTATCAATTTTTTTTACAACTATTTTAATTATTATTGAATTTAAAAGTGGTTTTTCTTTTCTATAGTGAAGTAATAGTAAAAAAATTGATAATATGAATATCTTATCTCAATTTTAAGAATTTAAATTTATGAATTATTTTTTTTGATAGATATTATGTGATATTCTCACTCAACCTCCTCCGACCACCTTATTTTCTGAATACGGTTCTAAGGTTATCTTCTCATTAAAACAAATATCAGATTAAACCATTATCACATAAAAAAGAATGAGATTAATCTCCTTTTGAGGAAGAATCTTTTTCTTCTGGCCCTTAAAAAATTTCAAAAATCTGATTTAACTAAGATTTTAACCCTGGACAAAGCAGATCCTTAAACGCTGAGCTTTGCCAACTGAATTACCGTTGGAAAGTTCATGAATTATTTCAATTATATCTTCTATGCTTTGCTTATTCCTTTTACGTTACGTGATTTTATATCAATAATATTTTAATCAAACATTAAACTAACGTACATTACTTTGAACAAGTCTGAATTTGCCCATGTTTGCCTACCTACATTGATATAAATATTTTCAACAAACCTATGCTGCAAAGATAAAAGGTTATCAAAACAGAAAACAGCAGAGGGAGTATCAAATTAGAAAATGATTGGTTCTGAGAATCATGATGAACAAAAACTCCCACTCATCCTGAGAAATATGGAGGAGGTGCCAGAAGCAGAGAGGAACCTGATTCAGAAAGCCATCAGTCAAACACTTAAGTGCGCAGCCAATTTGGTCAACCTTTTACCAACAGGCACCGTCCTTGCTTTCCAACTTCTGTCCCCAATATTCACAAATAATGGAAAATGTGACTCAGCCACAAAGTTCATGACTGCTGCACTTGTAGCTCTATGTGGTGTCTCGTGCTTCCTTCTATCCTTTACCGATAGCTTCAGAGACAAGAAGGGAAACATCTCTTATGGTTTTGCCACATTCAAGGGCTTGTGGGTCATTGATGGATCAACCACTCTTCCACCTAAACTTGCTGCAAAATATCGCCTGCGGTTTATAGATTTCATGCATGCAGTGATGTCTGTTCTTGTTTTTGCAGCAATTGCATTGTTTAATAAGGATGTCATAAATTGCTTCTTTCCATCACCATCAAATGAGACTCATGAAGTCCTCACAGCATTGCCAGTGGGCATTAGTGTTTTTTGCAGCATGCTTTTTGTTGCATTTCCATCAGGGAGGCATGGAATTGGCTTCCCCCTTTCAACTAATTAAATAACAGTTGAGTTCTTTTTAATTAGTACATTATATTCATGTTTGTAACCGACTCCAATTTGATATATTATCGTGTTTGGAATTCCAATTTATATTGAATATTATTTTTCAATGCTTTGATTTGATGTATTAAAAACCTGGACTAAAACTACAATGACTTCTCTATCATTATAACCTATATTGATCATGCAAGCTGTATTTAGGCCTTGTTTATTTATGGAGAATAGATTGCTTGAGCAACTGTTGAATAAATTGAATCTCACCCCAAACAAACTAGCTTGTGTTGTTCATGGGAAAAGCGTTTGTCATTTTAAATGACAGAAAATTATGTCATTTTAAGAGAGAAACAGACACAGAAAATTTGAATTTTAAATTAAAAAAAAACCACTCACTTTCTCTCTCCCATGATTTCTGTTTTTCTGTATCTATCCCTCTCCTAAAATGACATAACTTATGTCATTTAAAATGACAAATACCAAACCATTTGTTTACAGTCTTATATTCGATAAAAGTAATATTGTTACATGTACAACCAGAAAAACTTGATAGAATTCCGTCGGAATTTAATAATATTTAGGATGGATCTTGCATATGAAGCGGTAAATATATCATCTCCTAACCCAAAATATTTAGGGAATGAATTTATGAATACTTATATGTATATGATTCTTACAGATTATCCTTTTAATCAATCATCGTATTTTAATTCATAACAATATTCTTATTAAGTATGGGATCCATATCAATATATTCCCTCTAAAGTGTAAGCCCGCATCTTCTAATATTAATGAGATTACCATAGTAAAGTCTTGAAACTTTTATTTCCATTAGATAAGAGGAGACTGCACCAATCATATTTTTTAATATTCAACCTAGCCAGTTTCATCCCTCACACTTAAATTTCTAGCATGAATAATATATTTTAATCTTTCTCAAAGGAAATAATATTATTAATCATTGTGGTATGTAGTTATAATTATCAATGCGATGTCTATATAATGTTATTGGTTTTTTTAAAAAAAAATATATATTAAAACTCACAAATATATCACTTAATTTCCCAATATTATATAAATTAATATAATATTAACATATAAACTCAAATCAGAATAAAAACATTATTATTTTTCACAAATCAACTTTAGACATTATGTCGCTATAAAATATTATCTGATCTTATCTAATCATTTTCATATTCCACTTACATAAGCACAAACTAACGGCACGGAATCAAAATATACCTACATGACCAAAGAGCAGCCTTCGCGCATGCATGCCCGATGATAATCTTTAAATCCATTTGTTTAGAAGTTTCAATATTAATAATAATATTGCTAAGGGCGCTTGTGATGGCATTCTTCGTGATTCTAATGGTTTCTGGATTAGTGGTTTTTTCTTGTTTTTGGGATCTTGCTCCCCCTTACCGGCAGAATTGTGGGCTATCTATCATGGCTTAATTTTTGCTTGGAATATGGGATGTAAGATTATTGTTCTAGAAAGTGACTCTTCTCAAACTGTTAGCCTTCTTACCTCTTCTGGTAACGACGTTCGAAGGCTCCCTTTGATAGCTAAGATTTGAGCTTGCTTGGGCAAAGATTGGAATGTTAATTTCTTGTGAGAACATTCCCAGATCCATCAATAAATGTGCAGATTGCTTAGCAAAGGATGCGATTAGCAAGGATTTTGGTCTTAATGTCTTCCATTCTCCTCACCAAGATCTAGTCTCTCTTATTGAAGCTGATATTTGGGACCCTGCAATAGGTTGTTCTGCTGTCACTACAAGAAAACTGGTATTTGGAGGCTGTTAAATTGAGGCGATTTCTCTTAAACCGCCTCCAATTTTTTACATAGTGGCGATTTTTTCGGCGATTTAATTGATTCGTGGCGGTTCACATGAAACCGCCTCCAAATATAAACTAGAGACGGTTAAAATAACCACCTCTATTTACCATTCAGAGGCGGTTACATTAAAACCACTCTTTAGAGGCGGTTAAACCACACCTCCAAATGTATATTAGACGCAGTTAAAATAACCGCCCTCATTGACCATTTAGAGGCGGTTTTAATATAACCGCCTCTGAATGGTAAATAGAGGCGTTTAATAACCGCCTCTAGTACACATTTGGAGACGATTTCATGTGAACCGCCTCAAAATGTATATTAAAGGTGGATAAAAGAACTGCCTCCAAATTATATTTAGAGGCGGTTCATGGTGTATCGGACAGTGACATTCAAAAAGGAAAATCTCTTTGTTCCGCCGTTTAATTGTTCTCAAATTTGATTAGTGTGTTCTTCTCTTGTAATACTTCAATCTGACCGTTCAAATTTTTAAGTTGAATTATCAGATGTTATATATAAATTTTCAAAGATGACTCTTACACATTGAAAAAAACCATCTCACCTTCACTTTGAAGTCCCACATTGGATGGCACTTGTTTCTCCTTCTCCATTCCCTTCTATATAACAACCCACACTAACACACTCATATACAAAATTCTATAAGTTATTTATATTCAACTAATAAAGATTATATTAACTTTTAAAAATATTTATTTAAAAAAAAATTATATTAAAGTCAAAAATTATATTAAAAATAAAACTTTAAAAATAAAAATTATATTAACTTTTAAAAATAACAATTTTAATATTAAAAATTAAAAATTTATATAATTTTAACTATTTAAAGGCGGTTACACGTTATTTGGAGGCAGTTAATATAACTGCCTCAGATTATCATGTAGAGGCGGTTATTCCAGCGATTTTTTAAAACTGCCGTATTTTGCCTCGCAACGGTGGTAAACGAGGTGATTTATGAACCGCCGAACCTAGCATTTAGAGGCGGTTTGAACCGCCTCAAAATGCCAATTTAACCGCCTCTAAAAACAATTTTCTTGTAGTGTGTTTCTAGCGTTCCTGAGGTTGCCTTCTCCTCTAGTTAAGCTTGTTTTTTTTTCCTTTCGTTCTTGCATTGGGGCTATGCCCCTATCTGTACCAAAATAAATAAATAAAAATTAATATTGCAATAAATATGGGGAAAGTTGAGAACCTCTGGGATACCCTTAGGAGTTGTTTGATATGAGGATTTTGATAGAAATCTTAGGAAAGTGGGGTGATTTTTTTTCCTGCGTTCGGTATGAGTAAAAGAGAAAATATTTTAAGGTTTATTTTTTTCCATTATTTGAGTTATAACTATAAATTCCCAAACTCAAATACTATCTCCCACATGATATTTATTTTTGCCCACCTCATAGGAAATGAGGGACAATTTTATGAGACGAAACTACCCTCGACTTAGGTTATCAGGTTTCTTTTTTATGAGATGGGCAATTTTGTAATTTTAGTTCAAATTTCCAGCAATATTTATAATCAACCAAATTAGAATAAATTATATTAATCCAATTTTTTTGGGAAAGTTTTTCCCTACCAAACAACTTTTTCGTAATATTTCTAGCAAAAAAAAATTCTCACTATATTCTTAGAAATCATGATTCCTGGAGGAAAAAAATTTCTCCAATATCAAACGCCTCCTTGAAGTCAAAGAACCCGATTCCACAAAGAGCTTCGTCCTAAACCCCAATTAATTTCTTATTCTTCCTCAAGGAAATAATATCATTAATCAAGCGGTATGTAATTATGTTATTGATACGATGTTTATAGAATATTCTCTTCTTCTTCTTTTTGTAAAAATATTAAAATTTACAAGCATATGTGATAACTTAAGTTCCCAATATTACCTCTTAAGGGGGTGTTTACAGCATCTAATTAGATTGACTAATTCTTTTTTTTTTTGGTAAGCTAGACTGACTAATTCTATGCCTATGCCTTTTGCCTTCAACACTCAAAGCAATGCTTGAAAACCCTTCTCATTTGATTCCTTTTTCTTTTTTATCATTGGTTGAATCCTCTTTTTTAAGTCACATATATTATAACTAATTCGGCAAGTTTCAATAACTTATAAGGAGTTTACACTTAAACCACTAAATGATGGTAGCTCAGTTGATAAGTAACTAGGATAAGAAAATGTGTTCGATCCTTCCAAATATCACTTTTGGAAAGAATTTAAAATCTTAATTTTGAACCCGTCTAAAATTGAACTAATATCAATAGATGAAATTAAAAAAAAAAGTTCACACTCCAACTGGCACGCGGGGCGGTGCCATAAACTCATAAAAATCACTAAACCGTGTGAGAATGGAATCCCAAGATGAAAAATCAAATGTTGAATTCCTCACAATTCCCAAATTGTATTGCATTTTAAAAAGGAAAACTACTAGCAATTGCGGGAAAAAAATTAATTTAATACATTTTAATTAAATAATTACGTATTTTTTGCAGTTTCAGGAATAATTACGAATTTATTGCACACTGTGACGCCCCAATGAGGCGTCTTTCATCTGGTGTTGACACGTGTCATACTTTTTTCCAAAAAAAAAATAATTTAATCATAAAACTTCTGAAAGCCATAACTTTTGACTCGGGTATCCAAATCAGGTAATTCTTTTTTTGATTCCACATAACTTTTCGAGATCTACCCAATGACATCTCATTTGATATATTTTATTTCTCACAAACATAATTTAAAATTGCCTCCCATATATAGTGTTTGTAGTCTTTTCATAGTAGTCTTTTCATTTGCAAGGATTAATGAATAAAAAATTGTGATTCGAATTGCATAAATGACAAAAAGGAATTTAAGAAAGAAAGGAATAAAATCGAAACCCCAATTCTACGAAATAGTGTAGACTGAGAAAAAGGTTCCTTTTTTAAACCCAAAGAGAGGGGATGGTAAATTCGTAATAGAATTTTTACCAAACTAATCTAGTGTGTCAATGATTGACTCTTCTTATAAATAAAATGAATAGCTGTAAGAAAATGAATAACGCAATATACAAATTACAAATAATAACGTCATGATTCAAATCTAAACTTAAATGCAAATAGTAACATCATCCTATAATTCAAATGCCGATATGATCCTAGTCAGATTCTAGTCATCCTATAATTCAAATGTAGATATGATTCTAGTTAGATCTTAGTCATTCTATAATTCGAATTGTGATTCGAATTGCATAAATGACAAAAAAAATTAAGAAAATAAACAAATAATTTTTTTTTTTCTAAAATTACTTTAGACAACTTTGTCTAATGTTGACTGAAATGACGTCATCTTGTGGCGGAAATCATGGTGTATTTTTAATTCTAATTTAAGGCAACTATACAAAAACACCATGGACACAAATGAATAGTTGTACAGAAATGAATAAGGCAGCTATACAAAATTACAAAATACAAATACCAACGTTATGATTCAAATCTAAACTTAAATGTAAATAATAACTTGATGATTCAAATCTAAACATAAATGCAAATAGTAATGTCATTCTATAATTCAAATGCCGATATGATTCTATTGAGATCCCTAGTCAAATGAGAAATAAATTTTTGTTTGCGATAAATAAAATATGTCAAATGAGATGTCATTGCGTAGATCTCAAAAAGTTATGTGGAATCAAAAAAAGAATTACCTGATTTGAATACCCGAGTCAAAAGTTATGACTTTCAGAAGTTTTATGATTAATTTTTTTTTTTTTTGGAAAAAAGTATGACACGTGTTAACATCAGATGAAAGACGTCCCATTGGGACGTCTTCTCCTAGGGTGAGACGACTCACTGGGGCGTCACATGTGATGCCCATTTTGAGCGTCACAATGTGCAATAAATTCATAATTATTCCCGAAATTATAATAAATGCGTAATTATTTAATTAAAATGTATTAAATTAATTTTTTTTTGCCAGCAATTGTGCATAACTCTATTCAACAGGAAAAACAACATACTTTTAATCGTAATTAATGTAAAGTAACTATTCTGAGAATAATTTTAGAAAAACTAATATTTTAGTCAAACACCAAACAAGCATACATCACATGGACAGGTCCGTTTTCTTTTTCTGCTTAAAATATCACAACCACAAAAAGCATATTTTCCTTTTTCCTTTTAATTTTCTAGTTGGAAGAAATAAACATCTGATGATGGCAGAAAATTGGCCCCCCCATGATCATGAGATGTGATAGCACAATTTCTTCAAGGCCCAAAAATAAGGAAATGGAAGTCCAATGAGAAGCCCATTTGATGATGTGTGGGGACCACAGGAACCATAACGGGGCCCACAAAAACACGAACCTGAAACATCGATTCGATCATCGCATGCGAAGATCCCAAATCACGAAACCGAGCCTCCGAAACAAATACAACTTTTTAATGAACCAATCCAATGCACCACACTTCGACGAAAAAAAAAAAAAAACACAGTAATTCTTCGATCTAATCCACCAAAATTACATTTGAAAGAAAAAAAAACAAAAGAAAATTCAACAAAATAAAAATCAAACCTGACACAAGACAAATCCAAATTAAAACAACATTGGAAGATAGATAAGCACACAAAAAGCGCACAAACAGAGTTAGCCAGTGAGAAAAAGTGTGAAGCGTTTATTTTGGTTAGAAAAAAAAAAAAAATAGAAACATAAACAAAAGAAGGAAGCATTCTTCTACGGGTTTGGTTTTGTTTTTTAGCTGGCACTTGCTAAGGTCCTGTTTCACACGAGCATCAAACAATCACACCGTTCGTTCATAAAACGAAAAAAGAGAGAGGAAAAACAAATTAAGATTATTATTATTATTAAAAGTGAATAAAAAGGAATTATTATGAAAGGTGGTGGTGGAGTTATAGTAGTCAAGAAAGACTGTTGTTGTTGTTGTTGCTGGTTTATTATTTTTGTTTATCGATTATTCTTATTATTATTATCATTATTATTGTTTCATGCTTTGGTTTTTGTTCTTTTATTCTTCTTCATTGTTGTTCTTTCTTTCCAATTCTTTGTTACACGCTGCTTTTCTTATCTTTTTAATTTCAATTTGAATTTTTCTGTTGATAATTGTTGTTATTTATTTATTTTCATCAATCAGAGGATAATGATCCTTTATTTCCAATTTGGTTTCAAGAGATAGAAAGAGAAGTCTCGAGAGATAGAAAGAAAAAAATATATGAGATAACACAATTTAGGAAAATAAAAAACTGAATCTTTTGGGCTACCCTAGTTTATATATTTCCTTGTCGTGCTTTTGTTTTCTTCTATTGTGCGGGTTCTGGATTCCTAGGGTTTGAAAGGGGAAAAAGTTTCGATCTCGATCGGGTTCGTCCATGGAGGCTGAGGCTGCTTCGGAGGCAGAAAACAATACACAGAAGAGGGACGATGCAGGTGATAACAGCAATGACAATAACAACAATGGAAGCAGTAGCAGAATCGTGAATTCCAATGAGGGTCAGAGTAAGCCCAAGCGCCAGATGAAGACCCCCTTTCAGCTTGAAACGCTCGAGAAAGCTTATGCTTGTTCGTCAACACTTCCCTTTCTTCTTTAATTACGAGTTTTTTTTTTTTTTTTTAATATTTTGTTCAGTGATTCTTGAATTTTAGGGTTTTTTTTTTCTTTTTTGGTGTGTTTGATTAGTGGAGACGTATCCATCGGAGACGATGAGGGCGGAGCTGTCGGAGAAGCTGGGATTGTCGGATCGGCAGTTGCAGATGTGGTTCTGTCACCGGCGGTTGAAGGACAAGAAGGACTCGTCTTCGAAGAAGCCGGTGGTGCCGGCACCACCTTTGCCGGATTCTCCAACTGATGACCCGAGGTTGGGTCATGAACCTGGTAATGATTACGGATCCGGGTCGGGTTCGGGTTCCAGCCCGTTTACCCGTTCGGAGTTGCGGAATGTGATGCCCGGCCGGGGCGTGCCGGGGTACTATGAGTCACCGCAGACTATAATGGAGCTTAGAGCAATTGCTTGTGTGGAGGCACAGTTAGGTGAGCCTTTGAGGGAAGATGGACCCATTCTTGGAGTTGAGTTTGATTCATTGCCACCGGATGCGTTCGGGGCACCCATAGGTATAATCATTGAGCTTGTGTTGCTATTTTTTCACTTGCAGAATGAATGACTGTGAACTTGTGTTGAGTTCAATGTTCTGTTTGTAAGTTTATTTTCTTTGGGGCTTTTATTTCTCTCAGATTTTTTTAGTATACACAATTCAACTCGTCACTCAACTTGTCATGCATGTTTTGTTTTGTCCGTAACATGATAATGCTATTGACTACAGTGTTTCTATTTCTGGCATGTAAGTGGAAACTGGTAAACTATGTTCTCAGATTGGAGGGATGAAGTGTTCATCTTTTGTTTTGCTTGCCATCTCTCAGGCCCATTCTCTTTAATAAGAAAGTATTGTTAGAAACCATAATATTATGGTATAAGTTGCTGTTGAATAATTGTTTGTGATGGGTACATGTGCCTTGTTTGTCTACTTACACTTCTGGTATTTTCTTTTGGCGCAGCTGTTACAGAACAGCAGAAGAGGCCCAGTCTTGCCTACGACAGTAAAGTATATGAAAGACATGATGCGAGAACAAATAAGGTTGGTCTTCTGTATGCTATAACTGCTTAGTGTTTTGGTCTGTAAAATTAGCTTGTATTGAGCTGCATGTACGAAATCTTTTTTTTTTTTTTCCTTAATCACGATTGTGTGAGGTTGGGTTAGAGATCCACCTGAAAGAGGCGGGTAGCCTTAGCCAGTGTGTTAGAGGAAAGTCCAAAGGCTGTTCCTGTCCCTGTCAGGGGAGATGCCAACCATCCCACTTTTTCATGAGCACAAGGTGAATGTTGGGATAACCAAAGTGAATAACCAGTGTGTTGCCGTCCCCAACTAGTTTGGGATAAAGGTGATATTCATGTTGATTGTGTGAGGTTTTTATGAATATTGGGTACCTTTTTATATGCTTTTCCTTCATGTCAGTATATATTAACGGATATTCCTTTACTTCTTATGATATGGGCATTTCTTTAACCTCTACTCTTTTTTAAATACTATTTGCATAAAAGGAAAAAGGGTTAAGTGTGGATGTGTAGACTGAGGTGTTTATTTGGTATACTCTGTGTTGTTTATTTGAGCCATGGGTGTCTCTTGTCATGCGGATAATATTTTTAAATGCTCGTTTAATATGGATATAGTCTTCTCTTTGTTTCCTTTAATTGTTTGAGGAACTGGAAAACTTGCTTTTATTCTATGCGTGTTTAAATTGTATTTACTGTACTGCTGGGGATGATTATTTTAACTGGTTGGTTGTTACTAATATTTTGATTTTAAATGGGCTCCACTCCAGGCAATGGCAAGGACATTTCCCGAATATCCATTTCTTCCAAACCAGTCTGGCATTAGATCGGATGCTTTTGGACAATTGAGCCAACCACATTTACATGATCCAATGGAGGGTCCTACCAGAACTCCTTCTTTTCCCCTTGGAATTGAACAGCTACCCAGAATTCATGCTACCCCAAGTCATTCTTCTCGTGTTCGCCTTTTGTCTCAACAGGACAAACAAGCGATTCTCTATCCATCTCCTCATCGAGAGAATGATGTTTCTCCCCAAAGGGAATCTTATACAAACATAGCCAATACTGGAATGAACTCCCACTTTACTGATCATCCAATTGTTGGACAAGAAAATCCTTATGTTTTACCTGGTGGACAAGTTTTTCATAATGATGCAGTATTGCCAGTATTGCGGATGGAGAAGAAACGAAAGGTATTGATGGAATTTGTAATTTTTGCTAAGCGTCATTTTATATGTTATTTTCCTCAACTCTGTAAAGTTAATAATATTCTTTGCAGAGGATGATTTATATTTTTAACTTTATTTATGTAGAGTGATGATGCCAGAGTTGCCAGGGAAGTTGAAGCCTATGACATAAAGATTCGGAAAGAGCTTGAGAAACAAGATAACCTTAGACGAAAGGTTTTATTGAAATGAATTTAGCCTGCCACCATTCATTGTGTAGGGATTAAAAGGCATCCCATTCTCTTTTAGCTAACCCCTCTTTTTTTTCCCCACTTCCTTTTAGAATGAAGAGCGATTGAGGAAAGAAATGGAAAGACAAGATCGTGAAAGAAGGAAGGAAGAAGAGCGGTTGATGCGTGAGAGACAGCGGGAAGAGGAAAGATCTAAGCGTGAGCAAAGACGGGAAATAGAACGAAGGGAAAAGTTTTTGCTGAAAGAACATTTAAGGGTAAGTTATAAGCCCAATGGTTATAGCCTTCTTTTGGCTTATATTTAGACATCTGAGGATATTTAATGTATCCTACTATCCTTTTCTGGTGGTTTATCTTAAATAAGGCTGAGAAAAAGAGGCAAAAAGAAGAGCTTCGCAAAGAAAAAGAGTCAGAGAGAAGGAAAGCTGCGCTTGAAAAGGCAACTGCTCGTAGAATAGCTAAAGAATCTATGGAGCTTATTGAGGATGAACAGCTGGAATTGATGGAGTTGGCTGCAGCAAGCAAGGGACTTTCCTCTATTATACATATTGATCTTGATACTTTGCAGAACCTTGAATCATTTAGGGGTGAGCAATGTATCATTATGTTGCTTTCTGTAATGTTATATATTTGGGTTCTTTGGACCTTCAGTTTTTATCTGGAAATACTAAGAAAAAGTGAGGTTCTACTACTGATATTTATTTTACTGTAGATTCATTGTGTGTTTTCCCACCCAAGAGTGTAAAGCTGAGAAAGCCATTTGCTATCCAACCCTGGATCAACTCAGAACAGAATGTTGGCAACCTTCTCATGGTATGTTCGTATTACCACTCTTGCTTCCTTGTAGTTTTAGCATATGTAACTTAAAACCTGCCAAACATCGATGGCACTAATATTTTTCTCTGGTACGTCATAAGAGAAGAGAAAGGGGGGGGGGGGGGCTTCTACTTTTTTACAGCTTCTGGCAGTGGTCTATTTTCAGGTCTTCATGATTTGAATTGGTAGGTTAATCATGGCTCTTGTGTCTACCTGTATAAGGTAGTGAATATTGTTTAAGTTAACCTTGCATGTGTATTAGACTGAGATCATTCATGTAAATGTAATCTATGGATGTACTTATTTTTATAGTATGTCTTCTATTAAAAAAAATTATTAATTTAATTTATTTACTCCAATTGAGGATTCTGAATTCATGGATTGAAAGCTATGTGGGTCTATTTCAGGTTTGGAGATTCTTGATTACTTTTGCTGATGTTCTTGAGTTATGGCCTTTTACTCTTGATGAGTTTGTACAAGCATTTCATGACTATGTAAGTAAATCTGGCATTTGATAGTGATTTTGTGCTGCAAATGAACTATATTTGTGCACTCCTTTTGCTCATTATGGATGTTAAATTCAAACCATTGGATCACAGGATTCAAGATTGTTGGGTGAGATACATGTTGCTCTTCTTAAAGTTATAATAAAAGACATTGAAGATGTTGCAAGGACACCTTCTACAGGATTAGGAGTGAACCAAAATGGAGCTGCTAATCCTGGAGGTGGCCATCCAGAGATTGTGGAAGGAGTAAGTTGAAATATTTCTAAAATTTTATCTGTTCTTTTGATACAAGTATTAGTTTTGTTTGATGCCTTCCACTCCATTAATGTTTTATTTTTAATGTTAGGCATATGCATGGGGCTTTGATATTCGAAATTGGCAGAAGAACTTAAATCAATTGACATGGCCAGAAGTTTACCGACAGTTAGCACTGTCTGCAGGATTTGGACCGCAGCTAAAGAAAAGAAGTATTGCATGGTCATATCCAAATGATAAAGACAAGGTTCATTTTGTTTATTTATTTTTTTTATCAGTTTTCAGCTTGAATTCTACTGCCATGTTATAGTGCCTATAAGCTGAAATATATTTATGATATCATTTTAGTTTACTGATTCTATATGTGCTTTTAGTTACCATTGAATGTTTTCACTGAGCATTTATGATTTTGGATGCATGTTAAATCAACAATGGAATTTGTTTCTGTTCTACCTTTGTTTTATTAAGTGGATCAAAGTGTATTTGTAACTGCAGGGAAGAAGTTGTGAAGATATCATTTCTACACTTCGTAATGGTTCAGCAGCTGAAAGTGCAGTGGCAAAAATGCAAGAGAAAGGTCTATTAGCTCCTCGAAGATCAAGGCACCGGTTAACTCCTGGAACAGTTAAATTTGCAGCATTCCACGTTCTCTCACTAGAAGGTAGCAAGGGCTTGACAGTAATAGAGCTTGCAGAAAAAATTCAGGTGATTTGATTATCTTTATATTAAGAGTGTTCTTTTAAAAATTGTCAGCTTTGTTCTCATGTCTCTTTTCCTCTCAGAAATCTGGTCTTCGGGACCTGACGACCAGCAAGACACCTGAAGCATCAATTTCTGTTGCTTTGACAAGAGATGCTAAGCTTTTTGAAAGAATAGCTCCATCGACATATCGTGTGCGGGCTGCATTTAGAAAGGATCCTGCTGATGCTGAGTCCATTCTCTCTGAAGCAAGAAAGAAAATTCAGATATTTGAAAATGGATTTGTAGCTGGTGAAGATGCTGATGATGTTGAAAGAGAAGAGGAGTCAGAAAGTGATGAAGTTGATGAAGATCCTGAAGATGATGATTTACTAAATCCTTCAACTGCAAACCAAAATTTGGAACAGTACGATGGTACAAACATTTGTTCATCAAATATGAAAGAAGATTTGGGTCATGATGTAGACCTTATTCAAAACGAGTTTGATACGGATCTGCCTTGTTTTCCTGAGAATGGTTCCAAGGATGCTGATTGTCCCAGTTCTGTCACTGGACAACCTGTTGCATGTGAAGGTTTAAATACTGGAAATCTTGAAGAAGATAATATGGAAATTGATGAAAGTAAGTCTGGAGAGTCCTGGGTTCAAGGGCTTGCTGAAGGAGAATATTCTGATCTCAGTGTAGAGGAGCGTCTAAATGCTCTTGTTGCATTGGTTGGTGTGGCAAATGAAGGAAATTCAATCCGTGTTGTTCTTGAGGTGAACTCAATCCCATGTAATGTATATCTTCAAGTTTATTTTTGTATTTTGTTTTTAAGTTGACGTTTAAGATTTTTTCAGGATCGTTTGGAAGCATCAAATGCTTTGAAGAAGCAAATGTGGGCAGAAGCACAGATAGATAAAGTTCGTCTGAAAGATGATAATATTAATAAATCAGATTTTCCATCACTTATTGGAAATAAAGTTGAAACACAATTCACTTATCCTGCTGTGGAGGGCAACCAAAGTCCATTGCTTGATATTAATATTAACAGTATCGATAATGAAGCATCACCCAGCACTGCAGAAAACCAAAGAGATGCTCCTGCTGCACAGAGCCTACCTTTCGAAAAGTCCTCATTAATTCAAGATTTATGCGCTGGCACAGGTCCAGACAATGCTCAGACTCAGGTACCTGCACAATATTCAAAAAGGTCACGTTCCCAATTAAAATCTTATGTTGCCCACCTAGCAGAGGAGATGTATGTCTACAGGTCTTTACCCCTTGGCCAAGATCGCAGACGTAATCGATATTGGCAGTGTGTTGCATCTGCTTCTAGCAATGATCCTGGTTCTGGCAGGATCTTTGTTGAATATCATGATGGCAAATGGAGGCTTATTGATTCTGAAGAGGTAAACTGTTTGTTCAATATTCCGTAAGTTGATACCTGTTTATCTGATCAACTAAATTCTACATTGATTTTGACATGTTTCTTATATTTTAGTGCATGTAGTAACCTGCAGGCTTACTAAATGCAAATTATTGGGATCAATGACTGTAAGCATAATTAGTCTAGTTCCTACCTTGTAAATAGGAAGCTAATTTTTAGTATCATCACATGCCTCATTAATATCTTTATTGTTAGGACACAGGAAGTCTTCTTCTTAGACATCCCAAGACATTTCTTCCTTTGAATTCATGATTCAATTTTATTGTTTTCCATCAATATCTGATCATTAGCAAATGGTTTCAATAAGGATAGTCTCTGATATTAAACACCTGCCCCTTTTATTCATGGCAATTATTATGGACACCTCTTTTCAAAGTTTCGTTTTTCTTTATTCTTAATTTATTGGGTGCCTGCCACTGAAATGTTATTGAATCTGTGATTCTTTGAAATCCTTTTGTGAATTTTAATGTGTCTTTATGCTTTGTCTTAATTGTTCTAATATTAGTTATTCTACCATTCCTATATAGGCCTTTGATGTTCTTTTGACATCATTGGATTCACGTGGGATCAGGGAATCTCATTTGCGCTTGATGTTGCAAAAGATTGAGAATTCCTTTAAAGAAAATGTTCGGAAGAATACACAATGTGCCAAAATCGGAAGCAGAGGCAAAGTTTCTATTAAAAATGAAGCTAATGAAACATATCCCTTCCCTGATCGCAATGCTGGGTCTGACAGTCCTAGCAGTACCCTTCATGGCTTGAACTCTGATTCATCAGAAACTTCATCATCTTTCAAAATCGAGCTTGGAAAAAGCGAGGTCGAGAAAAAAGATGCCTTGAGAAGGTATCAAGAATTTCAAAAGTGGATGCGGAAAGAATGCTATAATCCATCAATTTTATGTGCAATGAAATATGGGATAAAGAGATGCAAACCTCAGGTGGATATTTGTGATATCTGTCTTAATCCTTATTATGTTGAGGACTTCCATTGCAATTCCTGCCACCGGACTTTTTCCTCAAATAATGGATTTAATTTTTCTAAACATGCATTTCAATGTGGAGACAAGTTATCCAAAGATATTTGTATTTTGGAATCATCACTTCCCTTGCGAACTAGATTGCTCAAGGTCCTGTTAGCTTGTATTGAGGTGAGCTAATGATAACTTTGCATTCTTATCCTTGAACCTTGTTTTATAATAAAATTTTAAAATGTTATTTAGTACCCTCTTATTTTGTCCTGTTAGTTTTGACCGTTGACAAGTATATTATATTCACATTTTGATTACAGGTATCTGTTCTGCCTGAAGCATTTGGAACAATTTGGACAGATGATATTAGGAAGCATTGGGGTGTGAAGTTGAGCAATTCATCGTCCGTGGAGGAACTTTTACAGGTTTCGTACACTTTCCAATTCTTTTAAGTATTATCTTTAATATTTTTGCATCATTTTAAAAAATCGACAGTAAATGCCTACTCAGACATTTATAAATTAAACGACCCATTGAGCAGATATTGACCCTATTTGAAAGAGCATTACGGCGAGATTTTCTGTCATCAAACTTCTCTCCAACTGACGAATTGTTAGGCTCAAGCAGTGTGTCAGAAAATGCTGCAAATACTTGTTTTGATCCTGAATCAGTTGCTGTACTTCCATGGGTTCCACAAACCACTGCTGCTTTGTCTCTCAGGCTTTTTGAGATTGATTCATCCATCAGCTACGTAAAGCATGAGAGACCTGAGCCTTGCGAGGAGAAAGAAGTGAGAGAGTACATAGTGAGTGTCTTTCATTTTTCCTTTTTAGTAGACTGCTTTTAATCTTTATTTCAACAATAGATCTTGATATTGTCATAAAGGTTCGCTATGAATAAGCTGGGCTGGAACTTTTCATTTGTATCTGTGACTTGAAGCAGATTCAATTTCAAGTTTCCCTTAAATACATATTCCTTTTGTTGTGTTTTGAGCGTCTGGGTCTTTGGCTGGAAAATTTTCATGATAATCTAATGAAACATTAATCATCTAACTTGCTTGCTTTTTGGCAGAAGCTTCCTTCAAGATATACTCCGTTCAAATCTAATAGGGAGGTTGATCCAGCAGAATTTGACCATGATGAATTCATTAAAGATAAATCAGCTCCTAAGAAAATTGTACGAAGTGGCAATAAACGTGGACGAGGGACTAATGATCAAGGACGGGGTAAAAAGCTGTCTAAAAGAATGTACAATTCCAAGAGAGATACTGGCCGCCGAAATGTTAAGGTCACTGATAATCTAAGTCACAAACTAAAACAGCAGGGACAAGGTGGTGGGCGAGGCCGTCGAACTGTCAGGAAACGGAGAGTGGAAAAGAGAGCTGTTGAAGATTTGTTGCTGGGCCATACCGCGGCAGCCAGTTGTAGCTCCAAGATTGGTAGAGAACCATTAAGAAGAAGCTTGGATGAGGAATGGGATGGAGAAAAGACAAGCCCCATGACTCCTGTACACATTGGGGTTGCTGACAATAGTAATAGTGCTGAAGAGATGGAATCTGATGACAATGCTCAAGCAGTGGAATATCATCAAGGAGACTGGGAGGTAGGTTTTAATGGTGTCCCCCCCAACAGATGGAATAGGGATTCGGTTGGAATGAGTGATGAAGATGTGGATGCTTTTGAAGATGACAATGACAATGACAATGACAATGGCATTGAAGAGGAGGATTCAGAGGCAGATGTTATGAATGAGGGTTCAGATGGCATGCCAAATAGAGTAATAAATAATGTAGGAGGCTCTGACTCGGCTGTGTCTGACGATTCTTCTGATTAGAACATCCATTTTTATTTGATCAATGAAGGAATTTGCATCTGAAGCCTGCATTGCATTTTTGATATTGCAGCTTTACAAAATACCTGAGCTCCGGGTCATGTCATTGGCTTGAAGAGTTTATGGTTCAGTAGATTTAGTGTATATTATCCATGCAAAATGGAGCCTTATATTTTTAACCATCTTTAAGCAGAGGGCCTTTGTAGCCAACCCCATTTTTTTTACCCTCCTTGTAATAGTTACCCATTAATTAATAAAGCTTTATTATACCTTGATTATCTTTTCATTGTTTTAAATCATTGGAACTGATAAATTATCATCTGCTCTGAAATATGAAGGAATTAAAATTCGAACATCACATATCTCTACTAATATATCAAGAGGTGCTTAATAGAGGAGTTACCCGTGTCTGTTCTTTCCACAAAAATCTATCATTCTCTTTGTTTTACCCTCTGTTGTGTATATCACCCGCTCGGAGTCGATTCAACACTCAACCATATAATGCTTCTCGTTACTCCACTATACATGCCTGAATTTATTTATTTTTTCCAGATGGTATATGCACAATATCATGCAACATTATATTTCCTTTTTTAAAACAGCATTTAATTTCTTTATAAAGCCAATTCCTTATACGCAAACGCACGCTACAAATAAAACAAATTCAAGTGCTTTTGTCAATCGTAATTCAAAATGTTATTACCTCAATCCTTTATGATTATCGTTGGATTTTATTTGATGACACTGTTAACACATTACACACAAACTACGCAAATCACAGATATCTATAATGGAGGGAAAATAAAGGTAAAAATGGGAGCAAAAGGGAAGAGTATTATACACAAGATACACCTTGCATTGCCACTCTATTATGGTGCCAGAAATTTCTTAATTATAACTTTCTGCTAAACCATGTTTGGGAATTCGATGTTGAATTTGATCCTAAGGTTACCCCTCTTTGAAGGATCTTTGGAGATTGGCATACCTTCCCCGGAAATCACTTCTTCATAGTTTGGATCAATCACATTGTTTACGACAATTGTCAGAGCCCTGCCATCTAGTGCTGTAAGTTGGATGGTGGAGCCTGTTAGAGCTTCAGCTTCTGCAAGTGATACCTTGTGTGTCACAACCAAATCATTACCATCTCTTGTAAATACACTGTGAGGTTTCTCATCAATAATAAACACAAGATCTGCGGCAATAACATTTGGCTGCTCATTTCCTTTCTCCAGGAAAGTGATTTTTGTTCCGTTTTTCCAGCCTGGTTGGATTTCAATGGTTAAGATTTCCTCCACTGGCAAAGTTTTCCTGCAAACAAAATATTAGGGAGGGAAATTAGATCAACGTGGCTGCACTTATAGGCACATGTAACAAGTGAAAGAACAAATTCTTGATCCTTTTCATGAAGAAAAATCCCAGAGTTCAATCAGCCTAGAAAAACCACCTAAACCCAACTACTATAAGAAAGGCAGCTGAGGGAGTACAGATTTTTCACAGATGAGTGATAAATCATAAATGTTGAAAGCACTGACCACCTTCACTCCCATGCATATCTTCCCTATCTAAGTGTGTTTAGGTAGTACATATCTCATTGATAGTGGCAACCTCAGACCATTGCTCCAACCTGAAAAAGTGTCTCCTAACTAATGAGGTATGGAAACTGATCACCTCATTAATGTTCCAATCAGTAGCAACTGCAACCAACAATGAGTAATGGTACAAACGGACAGTGACCATATTAAGATGGGAGCAATGAGTATGATGCACACTAATCCTTATCCAAGGATGAGAATTCATCTACCCACACAAAAAGAGGGAAAGGAAAAAAAGTGGAGATTGCTAAAAATTTGTAGCATGTAGAAGTCCTCTGATTTAACACGAAACAATTATAAAAGGAGAAGGAAATAGAACAAATTCAAGACATCTAACTAACTACTATCTCAAGCAGCAATCACATAACTTTTTTTTTGTTTTTTTGTTTTAGATCAAGATGACAAAAATGTATTGAAATTTAAGTTTCTAACAAATCCAACAACAAAACTCATTCTGCTCGTGAAATTTAGTTGGGAGAAGCTTTAACTATAAATTGCTGTAAATTGAAATGCCAAGCAAAGAGCAATTACCCGCTTGCATATGCAATTTCCCTTGAGATCTTCATCTTTTTGGTAGTCCCCTTATAGAGTTCCTCAAGGCTGCAAGGTAATGTATTTTCAATGGGAGGTGCCTTGCATCGCGGACCTTGACTCATGGGTCTCCCTTCTCCAAACATGTCTTCCCTAAACATTCCACCAAAGGACCTTGACACCCATGACCTACCCCTCATGCCTCTGCCACAACCACCAACTCCCATTCCCATTCCCATTCCTCCAAATGGGCTACAACAGCCAAAAACTTCTGCAAAAATAGTGTTTGCATTTCTGGGATTGAACCTAAACACTGTTGGACCATCTCCAGTCCTGAAGAATGAAGCCCCACCAGCATCCGGTGATGACATTCCACCTTTAAGGCCACCTTCTCCATACCGATCATAAATTGCTCTCTTCTGGGGATCACTTAGAACCTGCATGAAACCAAACCCAACCAGATTCTATACACATTAACATAGACAACAGAAGGAGAGAGATGAATTGAAACAGAAATAATGATACCACAACTTAGTACATGGAACAAACATGCTGTTTGCACCCAAGGAAAAGATCAGAAATTTCAGAAACAATTGTGTTTTTCTTTTCCTTCCATAGTCATAGACTCAGAGTGTCGGAAACCATGGTAGAGAGGAGAGGAATGAGAGAAGTGAAACTGAAATTTTACTGAATGATATAAAGTACAATAGGCGATCATGTGAATGATATAGAACAAGTGAGAGTAACTAACCAACTGACTGAAACTGACTTAGAAAACTAATCTAACTAACTTGTAACTAACCTACAACAAAACTTCAACTATAGCTAAGGTAATAGCCCCCACAAGCTGGAGGGAGGGTGCATACTAAATGCAAAATACAACAAACCAAGACATAATCACATAAACTAACAAAATAGTTAATCTGATCTAACATCCTAGGAGCACCAACAACATGGATGACCAAGATTTTCTAGTAATTGAAATCAAGGTTTACCTCATAGGCTTCGGAAATCTGTTTGAATTTAGTCTCGGCGTCTTTGTTATTGTTAGGGTTCTTATCAGGGTGCCATTTCATAGCAAGTTTTCTGTAAGCTTTCTTCAACTCTTCATCTGTTGCATTCTTGTCAACCTCCAATATCTCATAGTAATCCATCCCCATTTTCCTTCTTATTCTAACTTCAAACTCTCGAGTCACTCACTCACTACTCACTACTTCGCTTCTCTGTTTTCTCTTCCAAAGGCCCTTCCTTTGCTTTCAGTCCTGTTCCTCGATGACAATTATTCAACACTATGGTAAATCTTTTATTTAATATTTTGTAAAAATGTAAACAGATTATATATTTATATTAGCGCATGATATACTTACCATCAAAAAAGTTTATCACTTTTACCACCAATTTAATCACCGTTGATTTTCGTCAATATAATGGTTATAATTTATTAAAAATTAATAATTAATTAATAAATGCGATCCAATAATTTTCAATAAATTATAACTATTAGATTGATAAAAATCAATGGTGATTAGATTAGTCTTAAAATATATCATTTCCCATTTATATTATATTTTTTCGTACTATTAATTTACTACCACTTTAATTAACATTGGATCAAATTTTTAGCAAAAAATACATTATACGTGGCAAATAAAATCTTATGCAACGGCAAAAATGTTTTTTCTTTAATTTTATAATATATCCATGTGATGAACGAGTTGAAATGATTTGATCGGTGTTTACCAAAATAAAACTGAGTTGATCGGCGAATAGAGATAATGAGAAGCAAAAGATGCAATAATGCAGAGGATATAATTGTTGGAAATCGAGAATAGCACACAAATCAAAAAATAAAAGAGAAAAAAAGAAAATTTTAATATAGCAATTTACCTTAATTCACTTAATATAGGTTACATTTAATTTATTATATTATATTCATCTCGTCGCCCGTCGTTATAAGTTACTTGATTATTTTATTTATAAGGATAATATAAATAGAAAGAAAAACTCAAATTGGGCTCAAACTTAAATTATTAAAAAAAAATTATAATAAATAAAGACACACAATAATATCTGACCTTGCTGATCCGCTAGTAAAAATCTTCGTCGACATTCGAAGTATGAATCATACTCAATAATAAATCAATAATCGTAATAACAAATTTTGGTGCAGTGCACTGGCGTAGCCACGTTGTCCTTAGATGGGGTCTGGGCCCCTATTGATTTTTTTTTAAAAATTATTATTATATATAATTTTATAATTAATTATTATTTGGCCCTTTCTAAAGTTAAAATTTGGTCTCATCTATGCTCTCTCTCTGAGCTAATAGCCTAATACATTCTGAGTGGAGTTGGAAACCCTAACAATGTCTTCGTATTTGCTTGTTGTTCTCTCAAAGTTAGAAACCCCAATGATATTTGCTCTTAAATTGATGTTTTTTTATACTGAAATTTTTCTAGTTTTCTCTCTGATTGATTTTATTTTGTGAAGATATGCTTGTTAGAGTGTAGTGCCTTTGAGTGTTTTGGTCTTTTATGTTTCCTTAAATATTTGAATCGTCTTTATGACTTTATACACCCTCTCTTGATAAAGTATGAAATGATGCAGCACCTCGATGGCTTTTTTCAGAGCGACAAAGCCTATTGCATTTTATGTCGTTGCTCTTTAAAACAAAATGTTATTTTCCTTTTTTTTTCTTTCTCACAATAACTACTTTATAACTAATTAGGATATTGCAAGCAATTACTTCAGTTGTATAAATTAGTTCATGATAGCTTAGTGACTTACAACACCTTTATTTTAATATCAAGCAAAAGTAAAAAAATGTGAATTCTAAAGATATATGCAACTTGGTATTGGTTTATGATTCTCAAAGACCAGTGTAGGGATCCCTCATATATGAAATAAATAAATAATAACTTTCATCTCGAAGACCATTACTTATTATGCCGTGGGAAAAGTGTGATCCTTTTATTTGGAATGCTTGCCGGAAAGGTTAGTGTTTTTTTATATGTTTGCTTTCATATATAATAGTTGGCTATTATTTATTTGAATTTTCAATGTTATGTGACATTATTTAGTAAATAATTTAGATAAATATGCTAGAATTCATAGTAAATTATTTTTCTAATAGATTTAGGTAATTATAATAAATGTTTTGATAATTTGATATGTTAAATTTTTTGGTCCTAAAATGAAATCTTAGCTCCGTGTCACTGGTGCAGTGTGTGGCCCCCTGTGTTGTTAATGACAGGTTAGGTTATATTATATTTTTTCAATACGACTTGAAATATTTGGAAAATTGTAAAATCCTTTCGACTTGGGTGAAATTGGGCAATTAGACATTTAAAATGGAATCCTCTGCCTTCGTTGAAAAATCAATTGCAGGACGTACAGTTTTATCGTAAGATTGAATTTTTTTAAAAACATATTTAGAATATATTAGAAAATTACAATGAAGTTCGTGGGATCCTTCTCATACATATTCTTCAACTTTGTTTATAGAATACCACATGATTTTTACATGTATTACTATGACTATAGAGTAATAAACTTCTAAGCATTCAAGTTCCTCTTAATTTATAACGGGACTGCTTGAATGTAGAAGTCTGGAAAATCAAAAAATTCGATAGGTTACCTGCTTCATGATTCTGTTTATGACAAACTTGGACAATGTTCATAATACAAAAACTTGCGATCAACGTGGAAAAAAAAAAGTATATAAGATCACCACTCCAACAAGTAGCTACTGGAAAAAAGTACTGGATCGGGTTATCTTAATGGTTATCACTCCTTAACTACTGTATTTCAATATGTTACACCACAATCCTCAACCAAAAATTTTCGGATTTTGTTTGGGTGGATGACTCTACATAACATAATACACACAAATTACACAAATTTTAGCCATCTAAAATGGAGGAGGAGAAAGAAAACTAAGAATCAGAGCAGAAGTTTACAATGATTGGATTGCCACTTTATTATGGCGACAGAAGTTTCTTAATTCCGGCTTTCTGCTCTGAGGTCAACCTTGTTGGAAATTTAATGTTGAATTTGATCCTAAGATTACCCCTCTTTGAAGGATCTTTTGCAATTGGCATACCTTCCTTAGGGACAACCTCTTCATAGTTTGGATGAATCACATTGCTTATAGGAATGGTCAAAACCCTGCCATCTAGAGTTGTAAGACGAACAGTATAGCCTGTTAGTGCTTCAGCAAGTGATACCTTTTGTGTCACAACCAAATCATTACCATCCCTTGTAAACACACTGTGAGGCTTCTCATCAATAACAAACACAAGATCCGCAGCAATAACATTTGGTTGCTCATTTCCTTTCTCTGGGAATGTGATTTTTGTCCCCTTTTTCCATCCGGGTTTAATTTCAATGGTTAAGATTTCCTCCACTGACAAAGTTTTCCTGCAAACATAAAAGTAATCAGAGAAAATGTAATCAATGTAGCAACACTTAACAAGCAAAATAACAACTGAAAAAAAAAAAAAAAATCTTGCTCCAGTGATTATGCACGAAACAAAAACAGAAGGACACTCAACAAGGGTAACTACTAATTATAACTAAATAGCAATAACGTATTTTTGGGTTTAGATCAATAAGACATAGCTTAATTAAATTTTGAGAAATCATTCTCTCATTTCACATAAAATAACTAATGAGTGGTAAGTCACACTACATCATGTATCATGTGTCTAGGATAAGAAATACCTATCTCCGGTATGACAAAATAAAACCCCTTAAACTTTACATAATATAATTGTGAGAAGCTTCAAGTATAAATTGTAGTAGTTGAAATGCCAAACAAATTAAAAGTACTACTTACCCGCTTGCATCTGCAAGTTCCCTTGAGATCTTCATCTTTTTGGTAGTGCCCATATAGAGTTCCTCAAGGCTGCAAGGTAATGTTTTTTCGATAGGAGGTGCCTTACGGGGAACCCGATTCATGGGCCTGCCTTCTCCAAATGAGCTGAATATATCATCGTCAAAAATTCCACCAAAGGACCTTGACCCACCCATCATGCCACTCCCACCACCACCTCCTCCCATTCCTCCAAATGGGCTTGAAAACCCAAAAAATTCAGAAAAAATGTCGTCAGCATTTCTGGGATTGAACCTGAACGTTGTTGGGCCATCTCCAGTGTGGAAGAATGAAGCCCCACCAGCATCTGGAGGTGGCATTTGGCCCTTAAGGCCTTCTTCTCCGTACCGATCATAAATTGCTCTCTTTTGGGGATCACTTAGAACCTGCATCAAACCAATAATCCAACTCAGATTAAATTATATATTAAACATAATAGCAAAGTCACATTATAGAACAAGTGATTATTTCTTCCATGGTCAGAGAACATCATCAATGATATTAAGTGAGCTTAAATACCACAATCAAACCCATGGCGGAAAGAGACCGTGTACAATGACATTAAATTAACTTAAACGTTATAATCAAATTCAAAACTTAAAGTATTAAATGCATAAATCCTTCTGCTTATATATATATGCTCACTCAAATAGATAAGGTTACTCACTTACTCAAAAACAACAAATTAAACAGAGGAACTTTTTGGCTTGAAGGAAGAAATAGATAAGGTTACCTCATAGGCTTCAGATATCTGTTTGAATTTAGTCTCAGCCTCTTGCTTATTGTTTTGGTTCTTGTCAGGGTGCCATTTCATGGCAAGCTTTCTGTAAGCTTTCTTTAAATCTTCATCCTTGGCATTCTTGTCGACCTGCAAAATCTTGTAGTAGTCCACGCCCATATTTCTTTCTTGTGAGATTTGTGTAGTACTTGCTTTGCTCTTGGAATTATAGATAATAATGGTTGGAAAAATTTTGATCAGGTATCATTACAAAGATACACCGGATATTATTAGAGAATGAGAAGGATTTGTCTCGAAGGTGCATTGAAACAAAGACCAGAAGGGTGTAGAGCTTTCGAGGAGGGATACAAGAATTGTTGGACATGATTTAGGGTGCCACCTGTATTTTAATGGACCCACAAGGTTGCTTACTTTAACCTACAGGTGTATTATTTTCGGTTTTTATATGCCCTTTTTTCTTAAACTAATTCAATATTTATTTAATTATAATTTGGAGATATAATATTTTAGTATATGATTAAATTATAATTTATTTAAGGATTTAGTTTGTTAATATATTATTTCAATATAATAAAAATTAATTTATAAATTAGCCAAATTATGTATAAAAACAATAGTTAAATATTCTATAATTTGGAATTAAAGAAAATAAATAATAAGAGAACATTTTGAGAAATTAAGCATAGAAGATGCTAGCTCATTAAACGCAAATTAGGATACGGACACGCCATAGCTTAAATTTTAAGGATAATTTTTAACATTCATTTCTTTTGCACTTTATCAAAAGATTTTTTAACTTGCTAGATATATGACACCATTTTCTGAATAATCAAAACAAAAATTAAAGGGGAAATTACTTCAGCAGAAGTGATTTTCACAAGCTCACTCAAACTTTGCAATAAGAGTTGCAAAACCCAAAATTAAATAACAAAATAGCTATTTTTCGTCAAATTGAATTAATAAAAAATAAAAAGGGATCACTTCAGTAGAAGTGACTTTCACATACTCACCAACATTTTTTTTTTTTTTTAAATATGTATATAATAGATAAGAAATTGTTTTCACAACGAATAAAAAATAATTATCCTAAATAAGAAGATGTGCTTAAAGTTTATATTTTACTTTAACTTGTGAGTAGAAAAAAAAATTTCTACTTTTGTCGGTAGGATCCATAATATTTCAGGAAAACTGCAAAAATCTGAAATTTTATCATCGAACTCGTGCAGCAAATTAAGCCCATAATTTACTTCATTGAATGAATTAAAATCTTGTAACACTGATTTGGATGGGGTGCGCCAGGCCCGTGTAATAGTGCAACACATGGGCGACGCTCGAGTAACCCAATAGCAAGCTACTGGAACGGTCACTCCCCCTTAAAAAATTAATTTAATATCATGTGGACCAATGGCCCACGTATCAGATATTAAACTGATAAGAACAGATACTACACTTGATCTTAGCCAAAAGGCCGAGAAAGGTATGCTTTGACAAGGTTAGCAACGCTTCTTTTATACTGAAACATTCGGTGCTTGTTCTAACTTCTAAGCAGTGTGGTACTAACCAATTTCATAGTCTATTTCCGATCTACAAACTCATAAACAGAGTATTTCAGTTGATGCTTCGACCAACACATCCAAGGCTAACAAATCTTTTATAAACAGTTGATGCATGAGACCAGTTCAGACACATTTAATTAAGCCATTATAGCTAGCTACTCGAGAATACTAGTAATTTTAATGAATGAATGAATAAAAAAGGAGAACCTATTGACCCGTGGAGACAATGCACCGTGAAAATCTGATAGCAGCATGCTGAGCAAAATAAAAGGCTGCTAAATTAATCATTCATTTCAAAACTGGCCTTGTCACCGAGGCAAAGGCAAAATCTGCATAAAATAGCAGAAATTGACATGATGAAATGATATATTGAAATGACTGATATACCCGCTTTTTTACTGTAGTGCAATGATCACACTTTTCCAAAGACCAGAAAGTTGGTTTATCGATTGTGATGCAGGATCGTATAGTTGTTGGATTTATACTTTGAATCTTCGAATTTTTCTTTGAGGGGACTTTTGGTACGCAGAATTTTAAAGGATTTTCAGAAAATTGAATTTTTTTAAATTTTAAATTTTCAAATATTATCATAAACTGAATGCAAAAATCATATTTTTAAAAATTGAGATTCTCGGATAATAAAAATTTCCCCTATACCAAACGCACCTAAATGCTAGCTTATTAAAGAGAGAAATCATTCCCGTACTTTTCTCGCATCATTTATTTATGATAGGAAATATTTATATCTAATAATATATATGATAAAATAGAATTCCTATTAAAAATTAAGTAGTTTTGGATGAGTCCTTCAAATGAATTTGTATTTTATATTTAGTATATTACTTAAAAATATTAAAAAGTTATAAATTAGTCAAATTGTGTATAAAAACTGTATATATCAATTTTTATGAACAATAGTTAAATAGTTTAATATTCAATTATAGTTCGGAATTAAAAAAGATGATTACAGTCGTAAATAGTAAAAAAGAAAGAAAAAGATTTTAAATAAATTATCTCACTACAGAGTAGTAAGAACTATAATTAGCATTCAAAATTATTTAAAATTTTATTAAGATAAATCATATATTTTTATATCCTTAACATGCTATTTGTTTTAGGGGAAGGATATACTTACCACCAAAAAAGTTTATCACATTTACAACCAACTTAATCTCCGTTGATTTTTGTCAATCTAATGGTTATAATTCATTGGATCGCATTTATTAGTTATTTATTAATTCCCAATAAATTCAATAAATTATAACCGTTAGATTGACGAAAATCAACGGAGATTAGGTTGGTTGTAAAGGTGGTAAACTTTTTTGGTGGTAAGTATATCTTGTCCCTTTGTTTTAACTTAAAATATTGTTCAATAAGATCATTTAGTAATGAAAGCCATTTGCATTTCTAAATAATAATGATTTGGACGACGGCTTTGATCCAATTTCGGTTACATCTCCTCTATCTTTATTATAAGCTTGTGGTTTTGATTCCGTTATATTTTTTCTCTCTCTCATCTCTAGGAGTATAAATAAGTTAGGTTAGGTTTTGGCTTAAATAGGTCAGGTTTGTACAAAAAATATTGGGTCTTGTCTGACCTATTAGCCTGTGTAGGCCTTAAATTACAAATTTGGTCTGACCTATATTTAAAAAACAAAAGCTTTGACCTAGGTCTATTAGCCTGTTTAAGTCTATTAAATATTCAACAATTAATATAATAACTAAAATAATATTACTTTATTATTCAAAATTATTAAAATAATATTTTTATTTATTTTATTTAAAATAAATAATATGAGATAGACCGGCATGTAGGCTTATAGACCCAACAGGTACAAAAAATGCCTATTGCCTGTTTTCTAAATAGATTTTTTCAAAAGCCTGAGTCTATTCTATTTTATTTTTTATAATAGGTCAAGTCTGGCTAAATATAGGCAAAGTCATAAGTCCTGTAGGCTGGCCTAGCTCATTTACATCCATACTCACCTCTATGTATTACGACTTTTTGACCAAAGTGATGCAAAAACAGGAACAAGTCACTGGTTTAAGGTCCGTTTAAATGGACTTTTGAAAAAAATGTTTTTTTAATAAATTTTTGTTTTTAAAAGAATTTTTTTTAAAAGCTAATGTTATTTTGTGTTTGGATGCAATATTTGAAACGTGCTTTTAAGTAAAAATATTATTTGAAAGTTAAAATAAAAAAGCATTTTTTAAGTACAAAATGACTATTATGCCCTTACCCACTCTGTTTCGATGACATCATCCTCTCCTCCGCTCACCTCCTCTTCTTTGCAGTATGCCAATCTTTTCATGATAAATACTGGTTTCATCATTTGGCCAGTTTAGCCTTGAAGGTAGGAGAAATTTAATAACCAATTGCATTCTTCTCCTTTATACTTCTCTCTTAAGTGATAGACTTTTGAAACCTTAATATTGTAGAATATATTTATATAGATTGTCTGTTGAAGATAATTATTGTTTTTTTTATTGTTCTCCATCGTAAACAAAAGAAAGAGACTAAAAAAATAGAAACAGTACCTCAAAGCATAGATCTGAACTTGAAGATGGAAGATGGAAGATGGTAAGGAAGGAGAAATAGCGCAGGAGCTGAGGGATAATCTGTCCACGAGGCTCTAGAACTTGTTTTGGCTTCTCCTTCTCCAAGAAGTCAAAAAATTTAGCTTTTGAAAAAAATTAAATTTTAACTTTTTCATTAACTTGAGCTTTCTTGTAAGTTATCATCCAAACACTATTAAAATTTCAAAAGCATTTAAAAAAAAACAACAACTTCTAGCTATGGAGAAGCCCATTCAAACGACTTCTAAGTCGTTTGGAATTATTTACCCATGTAATACGTGCACATGTACATAATGAGTCAAAATGTGCATGGTACAGTACGCCACTCTCGTGACAAACATGCATAGACGCGCAAGATGGTGTACGGTGTCTTAAACGCGTATCTAAGGATAATGTGTTTAGTGTGCAAAATGTGCATCAATCAGAGGCGTGACTAAACGCAGTGGTAGTACCGTTTCTTGGTTTATCAAATATATTAGAATTAATCTTGAGATAGAAAGAAACCATTTGTGTGCATTTCCTTTTGAACGAATGAATGACAATCAAAATTTCTATCTCAACTATAAAATTAGGGGGAAATGTGTGTCATTTTAAAGGATATAAAGTTGTGTCATTTTAAGTAAGAGAAAAAGATAGATCATAAGGGAAAGATAGTGGATAAAAAAAAGTAAAGATATGGGTCCCACCTCTTTGTGAGAGTAAAATGACATAAGTTGTGTCATTTAAAATGACAAACACTTTTCTCATAAAATTATGGATGATGGTACCAATTTGAGCTATCAATTTTCCTGAGAATGATTCGTTCATGCACGACAATATCGAATTAGGCTACTATTTTGTGGATTTCTTCAAAATCCTCTAAAAGTTTAGCAGGCATTTACAAAATGTGTGCATGCATATGCAAAAGAAGAAAACTACGCTGAATTATAATGCAAAATAGTATTTGTCATAGTATGCAAAACACGGAAGCGCAGGGTGTAAGACCCTTAACAAAGATGCAACATTCTTGTGGGTATGTTTTTGTTTGTCGTGACATGTGTTGCGCATCTGTCTCATGCACGTCTTATCGCATTATACAGGTAAAAGTTCAACGACTTAAACTATAATATGTTACTTGCATTACTTTGATCGAAAAGCCATGTATTACTCTTGACGAATAAAATCGTTTCACACATAAGG